TGTAAATGTTGCTGTGTTTTTAATTTCAAATTTCACTCATTTATTGCTAGCATATAGAACTTTTGTATATAAATCTTATATCTTGCAACCTTGCTATAATCACTTATTAGTTCTAAGAGCTTTTTTTGGTCAGTTCTTTCAGACTTTCTACATAGATCATTGCGTCTTCTGCAAAGAAAGATAGTCTTATTTTTTCCTTCCTAATCTTTCTACCTTTAATTTCTTTTTCTTGTCTTATTGCATTAATTAGAACTTCCAATACAAAATTGAAAGGAATGGTGAGAGGGGACATCCTTGCTTGGTAGCTGATCGTAGTGGGAAAGCTTTTAGTTTGTCACCATTAAGTATGGTGTTAACTATAGGTTTTTTTGTAGACATTCTTTATCAAGATGAGGAAGGTTCCCTCTATTCCTAGTTTACTGAGAGATTTTTAATCGTGAATCAGTGTTGGATTTTGTCAAATGCTTTTTCTGCATGTATTGATATGATTGTTTGATTTTTCATGTTTTGCTGGTTAATGTTAACTGATTTTTGAATGCTGAAGAGACTTATGTACCTAATAGCTTTTTTGTTTTGTTTTGTTTTGTTTTGTTTTAGCTGAGCCATCCTGCTACCTGTTGGCAGCTCAGTGACAGCTCAGCTTGGTTCGGGAATCGAACTGGCAACCCTTTTGCTAAGAGCTCACACTCTTGAGTGAGCTCTTAACCAACTGAGCCACTCGGCCGGACTCGTTTTTTTTAAGTAGATGATGAGAACATTTATTATCAGTTAAATATTTAAAGATATTATGTATACTTAAATACATGATAAGTATATTATGTCCCAGGCATTGACCTGAGGTACTGGGGATACTGGGACTATGACAACTATTTTGTCTGGAGGAAATTTATAGCCTAGTATGGGAGTTAGACAGTTAATAGGACATTTTAGTGCAAGAAGTGTTCCCATAGGGGCAAGAATAGTATTCTGCGGGCAGACATGGAAGGATCTGGAAGGGTTGGGACCTGAAGGGTGACTCGGTTAGGCAGAGAAGGCAGTGAAGAGACTTCCTTATGGAAGAAACATCATATGCAATATTAGACGCTATTTACTGAGGCTGGAGTGGACTATTTGAGATGCGGATAAATTAGACCACAATGATTTTGAGGGTCCAAGTGTTAGATATTTGGCTTTACTTCAGGTCAGTAATGCTGTGATGTGATTTGAGGGAGATAAGACTGGAGGTAGGGAGACCAGATAGAAGGATGTTGTAACAATTTAGGGAAGAGATGTTCATCATCTGGGCTGCTCACAAGGGGAAGGGAGAAAAATGGATGGATTCCAGATCTACTTAGGCAAACGAATCCATAAGATAGTGGTAGGTCAGATGTGGAGAATGAGTAAGAAGGATGAGTCAACAGTGAATCCAAGTTGCTAATTTAAGTACTGGTCATGCTTAGTCAGGGAGCCTTAAAGAAAGCGTAGGTTTAGGGGAGGGCGTAAGGTCAGTTTTGAATTTTGTTTTAAGCGCTGAAAGCCGCCTTAGTGGAGATGGCCTCAGAAGTGTGACTTAGGAGTTAGCGGGTTATTGAAGAGATATGTCTTGCGTTTTCATCTGAAATCTTTAGTAAATTGCTGTGAAATTTTTTATTTCTTAAATTTTGTGTACTTCGTATAATTTTGAGTAATTTCTTTTTCTTACTCTTGGCCTGTCATTTTCATTTTACTGAGAGGACATTATTTGACATAAAGTGGTGGGACTACGGTAGGAAAAAGATCAGCTGGGTAATCAGAAGCACTTAAAACAGCAGAAAACATCAAAGTGACTTATACCTTGGTCATTTGTTGTTTTAATAATAATTTTGGTTGCCTTATAAAATGGCATATTGTAGTGTAAAGGGCATAATGGTAGATGTAATGACAGCATATCATAATTTATATTTTTGATATTAAAGCTTGTCATTCCAAAATCATAGTTTTGCTTGTAGCTTTCTAATCTAAAAATTGGCACATGATAGAGTGCATTCCAACAGATATTTTAGGGATCTTAGTATTTCGTTAGATGGTCAATGTGTTTTTTTTACTGGAGCAGTCATGAGATGTATTTGGAAAGGTACAGCTAATATTAATAGTGTGTACTGTGAGGAAGTCAACTGTATCCTCAGATATTTAAGTTTTTCTTATATATGTCAGTTTCTATTTTTTCTTCTCAGAGTAAAAGTAAAAACAGAATCTCAGGACCCCGCATCTTCATGGAGATCACTTATTCCAGTCATAAAGGTCAATGTGAGCACAGTAAGTAAATTCTGCTTCAGTTAATGTTTGGTGAGTTAATAACAGAAACTTTTATTTTTGTAAAGTAATTTTCACTTAAGAAAAGAAAGTAATTTTGTAGTTTTTTGGTTCCAGTTTTCATAAAGGTGAAAGAATTATTTTAACACCAATACCGTTTTAGCACACATGTATTAGACCTGAAAGGCTATTTATTCACGAGTACTTAAATCTCTTTAGCCACAGGTCTAAGTTGATCCGTGGAGTAATTTAAATATACATAGCTCTAAAGTGGCATCATTTAGTTGTTGCTTGTAAATGCTTGTTATTGGGTCAGCTGAGGAAAAATATATGGCCTGAATCGTGTGCCATGATATCTGTTACCTGTTTTTTCAGGGACGCTTGGCCTTTGGAAATCATTACCAGCCTCAGACTCTGTGCATCAACTTTGACGATGCTTTCTTGACTTACACCACAAAGCCACCTTCCAGCCACCTGGACCAGTTCATGCATATTGTGAAAGGAAAGCTGGAAAATGTTCGAGTCATGCTTGTTCCTAGTCCCAGATATGTTGGCCTTCAAAATGATGAGTAAGGAAGCCTTATAAAAATAATAACTTCTTTATATCTAATATAGATATCAATGAGATCTTTGGCATTCTTTTAATTTCTTTGTTCCAAGTTGGGTGATAATTAGGCAGATTTTTGCCTATTAAATCACTTAACAATGTGGTCCTGCTTTGTAAGATAAGTGGATATGCTATCCATTGGTAAACTCTAATTTTAAATATTTTTCTTTAAGATTATAACTATAATTTTTTTACCCTTTTCTCCTTCTCACTGTCTTTGGGAAATTTATTTTGGGCAATTAAGCCTTGATGTTTGATGTTAGAGAATACACATTGCAGGTAGGTTTTATTTCCAGAAAGAATAGATAAATAGTAAGTCCAACAAATGAATTATGGTGGATTACCATTTTGAGTTGATGAAAAGTTGAAAATTGAATTGAAATTACTCTTGGACACCTGGTGAAGTTAGGATGGTACGGTGCTGCAACTTGCTGGACATTTAAGTTCCAGTCAGTTTTCCACCTGAATTTCCAGGTTTGTTTTCCTCCTGTGAAGTATCTGCTTGCATTCCGGAGACAGGGTGTTTTGGTGATGCACATGGGGTCACCCTTGTTTGGTGGGGTGCTTCCATAGGAGGGACTGGGACCCTGGGCGAACGGCAGACATGGAATTCCCCTCCGACTCCGGGCCACACGCTCACGGTGGGATGAGGGCTTGTAATCTTTGTTATTCTCAATCTCTCTTCTTTTTGTGAAGGAGACTCTGTGGTGAATTTGTGTAATTTGGCATTCATACGATGAGTTTCCACTGTGTCCCAGCTTTTATCTTTGTGTGTAAGCAACATAAAGTCTCTGAGGTCACAAGAAGCCTGATTGTTTCCTTTTAGTTAGTTCCCACTTCTTGCTGTTAGATTTTCCTGGCACTGGCTAGAATGATAGAGGGGCACCTGGACGGCTGTGGGTCTACCTGGTCTCACTTTCCAGGACCACGGACTTTTCAGAGCGTCTTCTGGAATGTGGTTATGCCCACAATGCTATGTTTATAGGTAAAAGTTATGATACTGAATAAATAAATTGGGCTTTTGTGAAAATTACTAGAGAGTAAGATGAAAAAGTATTCTGCTATTACCTTGTGTTAAAAGATTTAAAATTATATTTTTCACTCTTTAAAACTAAATGTGAAGATTAAATGATAAGATTAAACATTAACCTTTGTGATTTAATACCTGTTTAGAAGAAGGTTGCTGAATTTATGTAAATTAGCTAATGATTGAGAAGTTAATTTCGGTATGGAGGGAAGATACTGTGGTATATGATGAAGAAAAAAGTTGGTAAATCAAAGCAACTAAGATTAACAGTTTTTGGGAAATTGTAGAGAAACATTTATTCCAGAATTTGAGTTTGAGATGTTGCTGTAAATTTGTTTCAAGTTGATCAACTAAGCATTCATGGAAATAGGTAATATAAAGTTGTTAATAAAAATGGCATTTTTTTAAATTTAATGTTTCTGAAAGATTATAGTACTTTATTTTATAGCTATATAAAATGATATTTCTTATTCAGCTTTGTAGTGTTAGTATAGAAAGGTTGAATTTTAAGTTTAATTTTAAATTTGTTGCAAATGCAGAATATGATTATTTTTTCTGATCATTGTTCTTCCATTGTATTTAACTGACTGAACTTTGCTTTAAATTGATTTCTGACATTCAAAACTTACAATGAACAATGCAAAACAATTATTTTTTTGTTTTCTCCTTGGACTAATTTACTGATTAAAAAGTTTTCAGTATTTTATTAGTTAGTATAGGATACAACTATGGAGCCATTTATCGTCTATGTGAAAGATGTTTTCCCTTTTCAAGATGCTACACTTGATTGCTTTTTAGTTTTGTTTTTTTTTTCCCTTTTTGTTTTCACCTGTTAGCACTATTAATTAGAGCACAAACATTTTGAACTCTGGATATGTACTTACTTTACCCCCTCCCCTCCCCACCCCTCGCCCTGCAGACCGCCGAGACTGATGGGAGAAGGCTTTGTGGTGATGCAGTCAAACGATGTCGACATCTACTACTACATGGACGAGCCAGGTAGTGCTTCTTGAAAGTATGCTTCATAGCTACAGTTCCATTTCTGCTGTGAAATGGAATGCCTAATAATATTTTCAGTCTCCTTACTTAGGATATAAGTGAGCATCAATAAATGGTAAATGTGGATGTAAGCGTGCCTACCTAAAAAATATCTATGTAATTGTCAAATGTTGAATATTACTTTAGCATTTCAGACCCAAAGAAAACAATATAGTAATCTGTCCTGCAAATTCCATGTTCACAAATGTGCCTCAAAAATTGTGAATGCAAATGACCACATGGGAAAACCTCTGGGAATATGGTGATGGTTTAGGTAGTTCCTAAGTCAGCTTAGGGAAAAAAATCACAGTACATTAGATTGGAGGCTTCAAGTTTCAGGATTAAAATCCAGCTATGATGATTAATGGGTGTCTTCAATCTTATAAAAGTAGTTAAACATTGGATTTTGGGCACCTTTGTTCCTACTTCTATACCTTCCAAGGGGCTTATGAGGTCAGAGTATTTTAAAAATAAAACTAGGATGTTATTGGCCATTTTCACCATGTTGACATTTGCACTGGTGGTGCCAAAGCAATGGTGGTGAAACTGCTGGCGCTTTGGCAAGTCTCTAGGCCGTGGTTGCAAACTACAGGCTCCCTGCCACATGTTCACAGTAAAACAGCAAGTGCCAACATTACTTTAACATGTCTTTGATTAAGCAGTAAAAATTATTTTGATCAACTCTTGACCCCTAGGGAAGCTTTTAAATATTCATTGTGCCAAAGTGGGAAGCACACATAACGCACTTCCGCTGTGTACCACAGCACTCTCATGCTTTGAAGAAAAGTGCTTGTGTGATTGAGCTCCAAGCTCATCTGTTTGCTCTTTTCATGGAACACCAGTTTTAATTGAAAGAGCAACTAGAGACAAACTGGTTTTGAGCTTTCATGTGAAAATTAGAATTTTTGAAAATTTGGGTCTGCCATTGTGCATTTGATGACTTTTCTGATGAGACTACCAGTGATATTAACAAATGTGATTTTTTAAATGTTTAATAATGAAATGTATCAATATTTGGAAAATATGCATATCTTAGTGAACAAGTATTTTCCGCTTGACTGATATATGATTTGCAAGGTCATGTCATGGGTAAAAGATTTATTCAAAGCACAAGAGAGATAGGACATTTTAACGTATCAAAGTAGGAAAAGTTCAACAGTATGGTTTCAGATTCCACATCGGAGAGCTAACCTTTAAGAAACTACCACTTGTTGAATTTTGGTGTAGTGTCAAAGAAGAATATCCAGAATTATCAGAAAAAGCTATCAAAATTCTCCTTTCTTTTCTCTCCAGCTATTTGTATGAAGCTAGATTTTTTTTCAAATCCTTGAACAACAGACTAAATGCAGAAGCAGCTATGAGAATTCACCTGTTTTCTATTAAGCTGGACATTAAAGAGATTTGCGAAGATAAAAACAATGCAAATACTTCTCACTAAATTGTTTTAGAAAATATGGTTATTTTTCTTTAAAAACTATTTTCATTAAAGTGAAATTAAAATTTTATTAAATTTTATTAAAATATAGTTGTTTCCCATATCATTTTCATTAAATTTAATAGACATTTCATTATGTGAACATATAATGAGTTTATTATTTTAAAAATAATGAAATTTAAAAAATTACTCAACTTAAAATTTGAATATAGTAAATTTTGATAGAGATAATACAAAAATACCCACTTTGGTGTCCTCAATAATTTTTAAGAGTCTAAAGTATTCCTGAGATCCAAAAGCTTTTAGAACTGATGATCTAAAGAAACTTTCTAAATGGTTATTTTAAGTAACTGCCTTTATATTGTATATTCTGCAATGTAGGACTTGTTCCAGAAGAAACAGAAGAAAATATTGAAGGAGAAATCAGCAGTGAGGATTGCAAATTACAAGATTTGCCTCCATGTTGGGGACTGGATATAGTTTGTGGCAAAGGAACAGATTTCAACTATGGGCCGTGGGCCGATAGGCAGAGGTACTTGAGTATATTTCTAATAAGTCCAATGCACAGAGCTAATGCTGTAATTTTTATCAAAACTAGCTTCACATTTTTTATAACATTATAATGGCGGGGTACAATATCCTTAGACACTTTCATCCGAATAATTACTTGTTTGTAGAGAAACAAGTAATTTTCTCTACAATTACTTGTAGAATAATTGTAGTCCCAGAAGAGCAAGTCCCAGAGGAGCGAGTTCATTAGAAAAATGGTATTCGAGCAGCACATTTATCGGTTCCTTTGTTTTTTCTTTTGTATTTAATCAACACATATGCCAGTGAGTTGGGGGCTGTGAAAATTCAGAATAAAAGACATATATTGTTGAGCGTTAGTGGAGGAAAAAAGTCAGAGAGGTTTATTACGTGCTATGACAGGGGAAAGCAAGAAGTCTTGATGAACCATTTAGAAAGGTCCTGTTTTGGTTTGCTATGGCTACCAGAGCAGAGCATCACAGGCTGTGTGGCTTAAACAACAGGATTCTCACAGTTCTGGAGGGTAGAATTCGGACGTCAAGGTGGTGGCAGGGCTGGTTCCTTCTGAGGGATGCGAGGCAGGATGTGTTCGAGGCCTCTCGCCTTGGCTTGCAGGCAGCTGGCCACCTTCTCTCTCTCTTCACATTGCCTTCACTTCTGTGTGTCTTGTAGGTCTGTGTGTCCCAATTTCCTCTTCTTAGCAGAGTGCCAGTCTTATTGAACTAGGGCCCACCCAGAAGACCTCATTTTAACTTAATTTCTTCTGTAAGGACCTTCTCTCCAAATACAGCCAAATTCTGAGGTTAAGACCTCCACATCCAAATTTTTAGGGGGGCACAATTCAGCCCATTACAGTACCTAACTCATAGTAAAGATCAGAGGATAGAAGATTGGGGGAGGCTTTTTGGCAGAGGGAAGTATGAGTTGAGTTTTGAAACATAAGTGAGGGTTAGCCAGGGAAGGAAGAGGAGGGTAAATGACCAAGGCAAGAGAAGCGCTCTGCTCGCGCTACTGGCGGTGGAGACCCGTCCTGCAGGCTCTCTGGGCCCCTGGGAGGTGGGCAGATAGTGCAGAAATAGACTTTATGCTGGAGGGCATGGAGAATGTCTGAAAGGGTTTCAGTTGTTAGTCATTGCCTTAGTTCTGAAATAATTCTTACATGTTATGACCATCTTTCTGTTTATCGAAGCCCTTTAAACAAAGGAGAGAAGATGTGCCAGTAATTCTGAGGACATGCCAAGGCTTTTATGTAAATAGACCTTGCTGCAAGTTAGTGTAGCAACTTGGCCATTTGGACCATCGATACACGTGTATAAAGTCTTTCATTTCTCACACTGTGCTTGAACAGTGCAAGTTGGTCTTACCTATGTCTCATTTGATAATAGTATAATTATTAAGTGCTCAGAGCTCATTGATGTCTGACAGTATAAAACACTAGAGCAAACAGTCTTTTGTTTTACTGAAGGGAAATTATAGTAGGTGTTTTGTGACTTCATGTTTTTGTTTCATATGTAAGTGTTAAATGAGGTAGCAGTGATAATATAAAGTTAGAATACTGATTTTGGTCCCTTATCAGAGGTCATTTTGTTGGAATAATGTCATTATTCTTTCTGCTTTCTTATACAGAGATTGTTTATGGAAGTTTTTTTTCCCACCTGATTATCAAGTTCTGAAAGTTTCTGAAGTTGCACAGCCTGGGAAGCCACGGCAGATCCTTGCTTTTGAACTGCGAATGAATATTATTGCAGATGCTACGATTGACTTGCTGTTTACCAAGAATAGGGTAATTATTGGAATAATATAGAAAATAGTGTTTAAAATCTGAACATTATTTTCCAGAGTATTTTTCTGGTGACTAGTCCCCGATAATTGTGTATGTGTTACTTTCATTAAGTTCCAAATAGTAGAAAGAAGTTCATTAATAATAATAGACTTTTATACTATAGTCTGCTTCATTTTCTCTCTTATATCTGGCCAAATTTTTTTAGTGTATTTTTGGTATAAATTTGAACTTTTGTTCTTAGGAACTTTTAATACCTATTTAATATCATTGATGATATTATTTTATATGATAATAGCTGAAGAGTAAAGATGGGAGTATAATTATAATACATGTTTTATATGAATAATTTTTTTTCTTTTGGTAGGAAACAAATGCTGTACATGTGAATGTAGGAGCCGGCTCCTATTTAGAAATTAATATTCCAATGACAGTTGAGGAAAATGGTAAGCTGCAATGAGTGCTTTTCTGTTTGAAATCATTAGTAGGAAGAAACTGATGGCTGCCGGGTGGGAGGAGGGTTAGGGGGCTGTGTGAGAAAAGGGGAGGGATTAAGATTGGCAATTAGAAACCAGTCACGGGCATGTAAAGCACCGCATAGGGAATATAGTCAATAACATGGTAATAACTGTGTATGGTGCCAGGTGGATCACTTCGTAAGTTGTCTAACCACTATACTGTACACCTGAAACTAATATAATATTGAATGTCAACTGTAATTGGAAAATAAAATAAAAAAATGATTAGTAGGGAAATAATATATAAATAATAGTATGTTAATCCATTTAAACTAACATTAATTAATGGGGTTTTCTTTTTCAGCTTTTTATTATATTTTGATATACCTATAGTTATTAACAGTAAATATTACATAATTAAATTATTTGTGCACCTGGAGAGAGGGGAAAATGTTTTAAATTGATTTAAGTCCTATAATTCTGTGTATTCATTTTATCCCATTCTCCTCTTTTGCAAGAATGAGCATAATTTACTTAGCGTGTATTTCCTGTTAGTTTTTCCTGTTGCTCCGTGAGAGCAGAACCTGCGTCGGCCTTTTCACTGCTCTGTGCCTGATGCTGAGCCCAGCACCAGGCACGTGGTACAGGGGCTGTGATGACCGCGTGACTATTAGGCTTTGGTTTAAGTTATAGTAGTAGGTTTTATCAGAGAGTAAGCTGGGCACTTTGAATAGCATAACTTTAAGAAAGAGAAACATGTCGTATTTAAAATATTAAATAATGCCCTGATAGCTATAGTTTCTGTCACTTATTTTGTTGCTTGTATAAGAAGAAAGCAGGCAGAGGGCTGACTAGATTCATTAGTTCCCATAAAGAGAAAAAGGTAGCAGTTGGGTCGGCTCGGTTATATAATCAGTTGACAAACTGACTGAGAATGGCAGAGTGTATAATTTCCCATAACTTGGGGGCTGTTTAATGAAGCACCAACCTTCCTTTAGCTAGTTTTAAAAGAATAATCCTGCTGAGTCTTGACGCAGCTGCTTGCCATTCTCTAGGACTCGTTGATTCAGCTTAGTTCGTTGGAAAGAAGCATCTCTTAGGGCAGCCATAATTGTGTAGTGGGGGAAGAGGCAGTTGGGGGTTGCACAGAATGGAGAATGGTTTAGTTGAGGGAGTGCTGCCACCATTTTTAAACTAATGATGCACATAGGAAAGAATATTTGCACAATTTTTTTTTGTATAGTTTTTGGTGCCCTGGGGGCTGAGGGGGTCGCTATCTTGAGCATTCCTATTATGAGTTCTTGGGAGGTACCACAGAGCACTGGGTGTGGAGCTCTGGAGTGAGTTAGGGCCTCAGGAAAGTTCAGTCAGGTGTTTGATAAAGGTTAGGTGGCCTTTAAGATGACTATCTGAGGGGAAAATAGGCTTAGGCAACAGTTAGACAATAGCAAACTAGAACTCAAATACATTTAAAATGTTTTTTAGAGATTCAGGTGTTTGAAAAATAAATGCCCAGAAGAGAATGCATGTTGAAATGGCCATATGATAATCACCACCGAGTTAGTGTTTCTAGAAAGGCAGCCCATCAAGAAATGAAGTGAATTACTCTGAACTTGTCTGCTTTTGCTCAGAACGGGCCATGTGGTTTGGTAAGTGCCACTGCAGCAGGAGTAGCCGAAAATGGTGAAGACATGTACCCTTGAGTCAGTGGGAGAAGAAAGGCGATGGGGGCTCTTAAATAGTTGAAAATTAGTGTTTAGGGACTAGACTTGTAGTTTTGCCCTGGGAAGTAAAATCATGATAGACGTTATGTGAAGATGGAACTGTCATCCTTCAGAGCTGTTCAAATGAGAAAGGTCCCCTGTTAGATAGCAAGCTCCCCATCATTGGGTGTATTTAAACAGTGACTGGTCACCGTTTTTCAGGGATTTCTTCTTTGAGTGGTGGTGGGAGTTGTTTCCAGTCCAAAATTTTTAATATTATCACATACACAAGTATATTTTTTAGGTTCTTAATTTTTATGTTTTCACTTATTAGGTTACACCCCTGCAATTAAAGGACAACTCTTACATGTTGATGCCACCACCAGCATGCAATACCGGACCCTTTTGGAAGCAGAAATGTTAGCAGTAAGTCGAGAGTATATGATGATATACGTATGTGCGTAAAATAAAAATTTAATGACCAGGAAGTCCTCTTCTCGTTCAAGAAGCCCGGGTGCCCTTGGCCCTGTTTTGGGCAGAGGAGGAGGTTACCAGGGCTGTGGCCCCACTGGCATCTCTCTGTGGCTCTGCCCCTAGGATGGGGCAAGTGAAGATAAGGCAATGAGATAAGGGTTTTGGGCCTTGAAAAATGTGAGAACTTGTTATAATATTGTTTTTAAACTTCACTGTATGGCTAGCCTAACTCTCTCCAGTGTTGTAAATGAGATCGTTTTTTACTGTATGTTTTCTGGCCCCATTGGATTCTTTCTCAGGGCTTAATAATTCACTGTGCTTTTTACTTGATGAATGAGGTAAATGGAGGAGGATTGATACCCTCGATTGCACCTTGTTACAAACAGAAAAAGCTATGGAAATGCTCATGCCTACAATTCCAGACTGGGGACTCATTAATCAGGCAGATTATTATTATTACTATCAGGGACAACAGTAACAATAACAACCGAAGCCACTTTGTAGAATGGCTGATATTCAGAGAGGATTCTTTTATATAAGATGGCACCATTAGGTCCTTTAGTGCTTGTCTAAACAAGCATATTTGCACATGATCTATCAGTAAATTAAGAGGGAAATCTTACAATTACCAAGAATCCATTGAATACCATAAATATATACTAAGCTGGCATATTCAGCATTTGAATGATTCCTGAGCTATTGCTGACAAGTAGTGCAGTGGAACAATGCTGCTCCCAGTCAGGTGGCTCTTGCCTTTGCAGACTTCCCAGTTGTGGCAGGTGGCATACACCAGAAAGCACCGTGTCAGGTCTGTGGGAACCTGGGAGGCTCTGGGGGCCAGACTCCCGCGTGACGGTGTGCATTGTACCCCGCCCTCCCTGGCCCCTCACCCCTCACTGAACAGGTTAGGCTTACAGAGGAATGGAGATTGCGGCTGTTCCTCCGTTAGTTTAGCTAGAGTACAGTATCAGGCTCTAGCCTGAGTAGTTGTTCCGAAAGGCTTTCGACCACATCATGTTTCATATTTCAAGGAACTGGATGTAACCATGGATGCTGACCTTCAGCCACAGCGATATTAAAATCTCGAGGTGCCCTTCTGTTCAGCTCAGTAGGAAAATGAGTTTTCATCACTCACTGGTGTGTGTGAATTCATGTCTGATGCTGCTCACACATGCCCCACTTCACTCTGCAGTTCCACATCAACGCCAGCTACCCCCGGACATGGAACATGCCGCAGACGTGGCAGTGTGAGCTCGAGGTGTATAAAGCCACCTACCACTTCATCTTCGCACAGAAGAACTTTTTCACAGGTAATTTTCTAATAAATGTAAATACAGTGAGATTTATCACAGGGAACTTGTTTCTATTCAGTAAGTTTTGCTTGTAGTTCAACATCGGGATTTTATGACACAATTTATACTTTCTTTCACACTTTTTGGGCTGAGACTGTCAAAGGGAAGATGTAAATATAGATGTTTTGTGCTCCCTTCTAACCCAGAGAAGGAAAATATGAACCCAAAATTGAGCTTAGAAGAAATGGAAAGAACCCGTCTTAGGCTGGTGCTTTGTTTCGGTCTGGTGGGGCTTACGATAGGGAAGGAGAATCAGCTTCTTTCTCTTCTTGAATTAGGCATCACCATGGCTTCATTATTTTGTTTTAATTATTGTAATCCACAAACAGTATATTCAAATAGTCAAATATGTGATTTTTGTATTCGGAGCCCCTACTCACTCCTTTCCATTGGCATGGATAATTGAGTAGATGCTATTGTTAGTTGGAAAAGTTCCTTTATTACAATATTTTATTAATTGTAATAATAATATTACAATATTGCTCATATTTCTTGAGTATGGGAACATGTAGCCTTGTTCCCTGAATAACATAAATATTCCTACGTAAGAATAAGTAGTATTTATCAAGCCTTCCCGTGAAAAGTTTAGCCAAAGAGGGTCTGATTTGCCAGGGTCAGTGGCTACCCCAGAGTACCTTATATTTGCTTGACTGATGGCTACAGTTATCCGTCCATCCATCCGTCCATCCATCCATCTGCCCACCCATCCAGCATCTGGTCTGTGCTCAGTACTTGGGGGGTAGAGTGGAGAGTACGGTATTCCTGGAGAGCCTTGTCTGGACATTGCTTACTAGCAATATGATGTTGGCCAAATTGCCTGATTGTTTAAGCCTCAATTTCCTTATCTGTGAAGTAGGGATACCAGCTTCCACCCTCATTTTGCTGCTGTTAGAACTTTGGCCTGTTACAATGTCATTACTACAATATGTTCAATCATATGTCTTGTATGTTTTCTGCTTTGATTGGGAGCCTTATCTTGGGGACTAGAGAGAGTGCTTCTGTGTTCTTGGAGTTACAGAATTCTCCAAGGCTTGAATCTGGGGTCCAGTAGTAGAAATTGTGAGAGTCCCCAGTAGGTTAAACTTTTGTCTGTGAAGTTAAACACTGAATAAGTACTACTCAGTTCAGATTTATGAACAGCAAATAGCTAAAACTTACAGTGTGTGTTCTGTTTGTTCTAAGCAGTTTGCGCATGTGAAATCATTGACTCCTCATCATAATTCTTTGACATCAATGTTGTTATCATTACCTTGCTTTACCGATGAGGAAAGTGAGTTCGACTGGTCGAGCAGTTGGTCCAGGGCCACATGACCAACAGGTTGTTCAAGCTCGGATTTTAACCCAAGTATTCTGGCTCAAGAATCTGTTACAGAGGAGCTTCTTCGACAGCACCCTTTTCCCTCTCACATAAGATTTTATATTTTTAACTTAATAATCTTTTAAAATACATTCCTGTTTTCAAGCATTTAATCCTTTACATTGTTATCCCCCAGACATTTCACGTTTTCAGACTCTAGCAGTGTTAAGAATAATTGGAGTAGAAGTATAAATTTCTCAGAATTTAAAATATTTTATTTTGTAGTCGCATTTCCATTTAGACTGAATATTGCATTAGTTACTTTAAAACAGCCAAATACATATTTCCTAAATTACAACCTTGTTTTTCCCTAAATTATTTTCTTTCTCTGACTCTAATCTTTATGCTTATACCTAATTGAAATTCACTTTTTTGGCTGTGTATTTTTGTCTAAAATTTATTTGGAGATATTTAAAAAACATAGAAAGATAAAAAACTTCTCATCTCCCAGATTTAACAGCTGTAACATTTAATCATATTACTTCTATTTCTTTCTGGAGTCCTTTAAAAACTTACTTATTCTTTAAAAAGGGTGACTATTTGAGAACAATATTAATTTAACCTTGGAGAAAACATACTTGGCCATAGTATGTGAATTGCTTTTCTCTTTTCTCAATTTTATCTTTATTGACAGAATTCTGCAGAAGATAAGTTATTGACCTGGTATGAGGGAATGCCTAATATTCCTCAGTAGCCAATCTCATGCCAATTATTAGTGAGATAAAATCATTGTTAAGAGATTTCAGTGTGGGACAAAAATTGCTTCTTGATAAATATAATACAGAGCCTCAGGAATGGAAACTGGAAAATAAAGGCAGAAGTGAAGTCTGTCCTGGAAATAACGAAGTTGATGTAGATTTACTCTGATAAGAGGTAGAAGGAAATAGTGTAACAGTACTGCTCAGCCCCAGTGCCAAATGACTGACATTTTAGAGGGTGTTTGCTTAACAAGTTAATTATAAAGTGAGCTGCAGATGAGTTTTTGCAGACTAACTTTTAGATTGCCATCTTAATAACTTTTAAAATTTGTTGTCTGAAAAAGAATAAGGCAGTCATCAAGAACATGCTTCCTTTTTACAATCAGACTATTTGATAAGACCATCTGGTAATGAGCAGCTTTTGGTTTAAAGGGAAATCCATATGAGAAATGGTTGTTGAGGCTCCTAGTAAAAATATTTTGTTACCATAATTTTTAATATTTATTCGTAAAGATATTGTATAAGCTGGTAGGGAAATTTACTGCAGACTATGTTGAAATTTCAGATAAGATAGTGAAGAAACAGCTAAGACTTGTTAAAATAGAAATTGGCTAATAACTTTATAAAATTACATTGCTTTCCTGAGATGATTAGTACATTATTTGAATTAGTGTTTACTAGCAACTATATCTCAATCTTTTAAAAAAAATAAATTAGTAGCAGTGTAAAGTTGATAAATACAATCAGTGTAAGTTGAAAGTTTCTTATAGATAAATGATTCAAAATAACTATGAACCCTGATCACAGCCCACGTTCCTTGTTTTATGTTATTTGTCAGTCTCAAGTACATCGGCACATGCACCAGATTTAGACAAATGAAACTGCGAATAGTGTAGACATAGATTTGCGTGCAAGTGCGAATTGTGAAGATAACATGCATGTGTGTAAGACACAAATACAGAGGCAATCCCTAGGATCTGAAGGTGATCAGAGAAAGTAGGGACAGCATTAAGATCTGAAGTGGTCTTTGTAAATAGCTGAGTAATACTAAGATTCCCGTAGTGTGTTTCTGTAGAACATTCCAAAGCATGTTCACTTATGTATTTTCACAGCAGCTCTGAAAAGGTTTGGCTGTTACTGCTCTCCCTGAGTGAACAAGGAGGGACGTGAAGCACAGATACGTTCCATGACTTGGGCAGAGTCATGAAACTATTAGTAAGTGGAAGAGACACTTAGAAACAGATTTTTGACTATAGACCCTATATGCCCTTAGAATAATGTCATTGTTAAAGATGGCTGAGTTTTCCTTCAGCAGAGAGGATACCTAAGAGTGTATTTTTTTAGATAGGATGAGTGGTTTGAGTAAAAGTGCAGAACCAAAAATGTTTATGAGAGAGTGAGAAAAGTGAGAAATCAGCTTGATGAAGGATGAATTTGCATTGTGGAGTTGGTTAATTCCAGAGATGAATTTGGGGCACCTCCCAAGGGCTAGACATTGTGCTAAAGAATCAAGTTCACAAGTAGGGGTGGAGCTGATTGGTTCGGTAGGGTGGCGTGCAGAGGCACGGGGTTACAAGAAGTGTAGATACTGTAAGGTATGGTGAGCCACTGTGATTGCTTGCTAAATGAAACAAAAACATACTTAAAATAAAATTGATAAGCAGACTTTTCCTTTCTCTAGTCATAGAACAGGTAAATAGCCATATGCCTTTTATTGTTGAGATAGGAAAACTCTACATCTTATTAATATGTAAATTATGATATTTGATAGTAAATGTATCATTTTGCCATTTTATTAAGAGAAATGTCTCTGTAATCTATTGCACAAGCTTCTGTACATTGCTGCTAAATTTTAAATGAGTTCATATATTATGTCAGATTTGACTTCTGATTTCATTATTGAATCTAATATCTTCAGTATAAAGTTTTCCTTTAAAATTCAAAGACTACTTTAAATATTTAATTATTTTTACCTATTATTTTCCTTAGAATATCTTTACTAATAAATGCTACCATTTGTGGCGTGCCTACCTGTTGTTACTGAGCTAAAACTTCACATATATCATCTCAAACATATATCTCACATATATCATCACAATAAATGTGTGAAGTTGCCCCCATTTTGTGAAAGAGAAAACCAGTAGCTTTGGAGTCATTTGTTCAAGATCACATAGCTAGTAAGATGATACAGCCAGAATTTCAACCCAGGCTTGTCCTGTGTCAGAGTCGGGGATTGGCAATACTGCTTCTGGTGGTTCCTCTCTCTTACATGTACAAAGTTCTGTTAATTACACGTGCATAGCACTGTGCTCTGGGCTATGAGTACACACAGACAAGCTTGATGAGCACCTCTAGGATATGACTATAGAAAGACATTGTTTGTCTTGTTCCTTTGTTGCTTTCAGTTTTACATCCCACATATCAGTGAACTCATATGGTCCTTGGCTTTTTCTGTCTGACTTATTTTGCTTAGCATGATAACCTCAGGATCCATCCATGTTGTCGCAATGGCACTATTTCATCTTTTCTTATGGCAGAATAGTATTCCATCGTGTATATGTACCACAACTTCTTTATCCAATCATCTTTTGAAGGACACTTTGGTTGTTTTCATGAAATACATAATTTTTTTCTTATTTGGAACTGCGATTAGTAAGTAAACATCTATTTGCTGTTAAGTCATTTAGCTATATCTTAATCACCTTTTAACATTTTAATATAAAAGTTCTTTTTAGTTACAAAAGAAAAATTTATTTTTGACTGGTGTTAAATCTTTACAGTTTGTTTTCTGAATTTCAATTCATTTTCACTTCTGTCTCTCACCCCAATAATTTTAGATTTAATTCAAGACTGGTCTAGTGATAGTGCTCCAGACATTTTTTCATTTGTTCCATATACATGGAATTTTAAAATCATGTTTCATCAATTTGAAATGATTTGGGCTGCTAATCAACACAACTGGATTGACTGTTCCACTAAACAACAGGAAAATGGTAAGAACTTTAAAAATTAGGTTAAGTATTGAGTTTATTAAGATAAATACCAATAAAGAAGATTGGTATTGATACCGTAGTTTTAATAGATACTGCAATTGATCTTTTTTCTATTATCTTGTGAGATTAGACTGAGTTAATAGTTTTAAATTTAATTTTGCTTAGGTGTGTATTTAAGGCAGTTTTTATTTATGATTTTTATTTATTGAAGTTAAAAGTAAATTTTCTTTGTTCTTCTTTTTTTCTGTAGTGTATCTGGCAGCCTGTGGGGAAACACTAAATATTGATTTCTCTTTGCCTTTTACTGACTTTGTTCCAGCTACATGTAACACCAAGTTCTCCCTCAGGGTACGTATACGTGTTGTATATTCCACAGGCTTATCAGTGTGTGAGTCACGAAGCTTCACTTTACTCCCCTGGCCTGTTCTGTTGCCACCCTGAAGTATTTCCTCCATTGTTCACTAACTTGAGTGTCACAGAAGTGCTGTTGTTTCTGTTCTTAGGTAACTATAATGTTCTGCCATTCCCCGAAGTTGCCAACTTCCCCTTAGGAGTTGGGCAATAAAACAGTGCCCTGAGTTTATTATTTTCTTTCTTTTTTTTTATTAAATTATTTTTTATTATGAAATACACATTTTTTAGAATTAGTTTCAGCTGTACAACACAGTGCAATAGTTATAATTTTTACCCCTCGAAGTGACAACCCCCCTCCCCCATATTATTTTCTTAGAGCTCATTTCTAACCTCTGTATCTGTATGTTTTTTTAAGAACACCCTCTAGCTCTAGTGTTGACTGTGTCTATGAACTAGATTTTACATTTCCCTATATTTCATTCCTAATTGTAACCAGGAATTCAAGGAATAACAACAAATACCTTTCTTCCTTTTATCTGAAAGCCGGCTGTTATGAATTGCAAATCTTGTGCAACACCTAATTTTAGGGTGTGGGCAGTCAGTGGTAGTTGTAGTATGGATGGAGGTTATGGTGGAGAAAACTAGCAACAGTAATGATAAGAGCAGCTGACAGCTGTTAAGCGTTTTGTATGTGGCCACTATTCCCAGTGCCTTGGCTGCAGCCCCTCATTTAACTCCCAGGGCGACCCTCTTGAGCCAGATGTTTCCACCTGCATTTATGAACAGGAAGCTGAGGAGCCGAGTTGAGTAGCGACTTGGAATTTGAACCCAGGCCATACAGCTTTGGGCTCTGCTCTTTTAACCACTCTGCTGTGCTGCCTGTTCAGAAGCAGGCATGGGATGAACAAAGATTAGGGGGTCTACAAGGAAAACAGTTAGGCTGAATGAAGACCCTGTGATGTGCTAACTCAGAGTTTTCAAAGCCAGTTGAGGAACCAAGACTTACTATAGAATTAAGATACAATCATTTTTTTTTTTTTTTAAGATTTTATTGGGGAATCGGGGAAGGGGAACAGACAAGTTGCTGTCTTTTTTGTTCTTCAGTTTAGTTGTGGAGGACGTTGCTTCACTGGTCCATGTTGGTATTATCATTGCACTTTTCCCGAGTGAGGCAGTTGCTTGCTGGCCACTGGATGGCGGCTCACGGCAGCTCACGAAAGCTCACGCCCTCTGTAGGCCAGCCCCACTGCAGCCTACGCTGTCACCGGCGACTCACGGCAGCCCAGCTCCAGGTCGAGCTTTTGTTCACCATCTTAGCTGTAGAGGGCGCAGCGTCACTGGCCTTCATGTGGGATCTGAACCGGGGCCCTGCTGCTCAGAGCTGGCGTCCCAAGCCAACTCCTAACTAACGTGCCACTCTGCCGGCCCTACAATCATATTTTTGAAAGTCATAAAAATACAGAACAAATTCTACCTGAGCTTATGTGACATGATTTTTTTTTTTTTTTACTGAGTTACATGTGACATATCCAGGGATCCAGAGATAATCTCCTCACTGTTTTGTGGAAACTATACTATTTATTTTCCTGATTTCTTTTACTGTTTTTCTGGACTTTCTAATCAGAATTTAATTTTAATTGATACAAAATCTTATTCTAGTTATTTACCTCACTGTTCAATTTAAATTCTGCTTTTTGGAATTTCTGTTTCATTTCTTTTGAATTGATTCTCAACATTATTATAGAGAGGTTTGGCTGTAATAGTAACCTAACATGTTTATGTACTTATTTTATTACTTTGGGTCATTATAAATTATTTTTTAGGGAGAAGATGTTGATCTTCATTTGTTTCTACCAGATTGCCACCCTAGTAAATATTCATTATTTATGCTGGTAAAGAATTGCCACCCAAATAAAATGACTCGTGATACTGGTATTCCTGCTGAGTGTCAAAGTGGCCACAAAACAGTGAAACCAAAATGGCGGAACATTACTCAAGAAAAGTGAGTGCATAAAATTATTGATCTAAGTATTTTGTTTAAAGAAACTATTTTTTAAAAGAATAATAATAAATTTGATTATCTGTACCAGGTGTTTGTATATAATTAGAGGAATAAGTACCTGACTAGAAACTTTGTTTTTACTCTTCAAAGAGCTGGTTGGGTTGAATGCTGGACTGTCCCAAGTGTCACGCTTACAATTGATTACACATGGCATCCAATTTATCCACAAAAAGCAGATGAACAGCTAAAACAATCATGTAAGTATTTTTTTAAATTTGTACTTTGAAACACCTGGTGTTATGATTGGTAATCATCAAAGATACAAGAAAGAAATTTTAAAAATTTGGAAATGCATCTATTTTGATATAATTGTATACATATAAAATCTTTTAAGAATTTTGCTATAATTATAGCTAACTTTTATTGAGCATTTACCTATGTATCAAATACTAGGCCAAGCTGTTTCCTGGCTCACATGATCTCATTCAGTCCTTACAATAACTCAGTGTGATGGATATTATCATTATTATTATTATCATTGGAGGGTTGAGGAAATATGCTCAGAGAAGGGAATTATGTAATTTTCTCAAGTCTCCAAGCCAGAAGCAGCAGAGCTGAAATATCAAACAAGGTGTATGTGAATCTATAGATTTAAAGCACTTATTTTGTGAAATGTTCGTTTTTTTATGCATTTGACAACTGTGATATCCTAGTTAGCCTGAAGCTTATGTGCCTTATTATGGGGGTCCAAACAGAATCAGAGTCAAGTGATATTTTCTTTGTATTTTTCCAGTGAGTTAAGTTTTAAAGAATAGGTTATATAATTGGTGTTATGTATGCAACTTGATAACATCACACTGTATTTGAATAGCTGTTTCTATGAAAATAACTATACTTTAATGCCCAAGTACAGTTAAAGTCTCAACTGTGACCCAGATTTATATTGCAAGGTCTTGATGAGAATGTTGGCTGTGTTAACAGGAACTTTTCACTGATTCTGTGCAGTCTGATTTATGTATTTCTACATATATTTCAATGAAGTCTGTTCTATTTTGCATTCTTAATCATTAGTCTTTCAGGTTCGTTTTCATTATATGCTATAGGTGTATATCAAGGTTAGTTATTTTCATCTTTGCAAATAGAATTTCTTAGTACATATAGTAGTTCCTTGAAGGACTTCTAGCCAAGTATTTGATAAAAAGGAGAGAAGAGTCAACTGCTTTGGATGATAAGATCTCACATGCTATAAATCAGTTCTGCTATTCAGTACTCTTTTTTCAAGAACGTTGACTTCTTTATTTGTTACAGCTATTCTTTAAAAAAATAATTTCCATTTGATATGAAAATGATAAAATGGACTAGTCATGGAAGTTGGGTAGTCAAAACTAACCACTCAAATTAAAAAAAAAAAACAACAGAGCCCCTAAGAGGTACTTTCCTCCCTCGCCAGACATTGTTTTGCCCGATTTATTCCAGTGTCAGAAATGGAAGAGACGATGCTATCTGTGTTACGACCGTCCCAGAAAACAGCAGACAGAGCTGTCTCTTCACCGTCCACTTCTTCCCGGCCGCCTGTCGACCCCTCAGAGCTTCCCCCTGACAAACTTCATGTGGAAATGGAACTGTCCCCAGATTCTCAGATAACTCTCTACGGACCGCTGCTAAATGCCTTTTTGTGTATAAAGGTATGATTTGAAAAAGAACTTCCATATTTTGAAACGTAGGTAAAGCACTGAATATCTAATTGAAATTGAGACCATTTACAATAGCCAGTTGGACAATTTAAAATGTTGAGTACGTGTTGGGTTGGTTAGACTTGTAGTATCAGACTCAATTACAAAATTATTTATTAAAAATAGTGTACTCCTTTGTACACTTGAAGCCAATGTAATTTTACTGACCATTGTCACCCCAATGAATTTAATTAAAAAAAATAGTGTATTCCTCAGTTTAGCAATTATTATTATTATTATTTTGCATTAAATGTGTTCTAGGAATTATGCTAGTTGTTAGGGATAGAGGTGACATAGCATCTATCCTCAGGGAGATAAGCTAGAGGGGTAAAGCAGGATAGACACATGTGGACAAACTTGAACACATTGTAATTAATGCAGAAATAGAAATATAAGAGAATCTTGTTATCTGAGGATAATTGGTGCCAGATAAAGTCTTCTTCAAGTGAATCCATTAAAAACAGACTTTAGTTTACAGTAAATAATGAAAGATTTGTTTGGAGCTCGATCTTAAAAATTGAAGTAAATATATGAAAAGTTTATTTCAAAGTATGAGAAATTTAGGTTTTGAAGAAATAGGCACTACTTTGAGCAAGGTGGAATCAAGCGTTGATCCCTTTGGTGTAATTTCCCACCGACTGTATGATTGCACAGTATGAGGGCACTTAAAGGCTGGTGTTGTAGCATGAGTGTGAAGAGAGGCTATTTTAAGAATAATGTTTGAGGACTTCATCAGTTTCCTAGACGTCACTCTTATTCTTTTGAGGTTCGACTCATACTTTTAAAAAGTCCCCAGCAAGCCATCAGTGATTCTTGTTGACTTCTCTGTAGGTCACTGCTCTAAGCCTTCCAGATCCTCACTTATCACTGAGAGCTTTACTGTGATTTGAGTTGTTATCCAATGTCACTTTCAGCAACTTCATGAAATTTTGAATTTTTCCAGGATTTTGCAAATTCATTTGCTTTAGGTTTCACTGTACTGTTGTCCAAACATTGACAGTTACAGCAGTTACAAGTTACTTGTGTGAATCTAGTTCCATCAGTGCTTATTTATGTGCTTCCTTTTGCATTTTCACACCTGCAGAGGTGTGGCTACTGAATGCTGAGCTAACAAGGAATCCTGTGATGTTCGGTGACAGGAGTAATGAATTCTGGGAAGGGTCTCGGATAGTCATCCCTGGTCACGGGAGGACCATCAAAGTTTTCTAGCAGACTCTGAAGAAGTGCTAGGTGAATGGGTTTGGAAGGTACCTAACATCTCAGTATTGGAGTTACTCTGTTCACTAAAAACTACTACATAAAGCATCAGAGGATGTCATTCTAGATAAAAGATGCAAGGAAAAATGCGTTCAATATTTGTGGAAATCTACAGTTTCTGTATGATGTTAGGAGAGGTTCCTGAAGAAGTAATTCTTCAGATTCAAGAGAGGAAACAGCACTTTTTTGTGTGTGGGGGTGTGGGGGTGTGGGGAGGAGGGCATTGTTTGACCTAAAATATTTTTCACGTATTTCTTTTAATATCTTATTTTCTTGGGATTGCATGTGAATAACTATAAGAATCTAAAAGGCATTTTTTAAGTTGTAGTTTCCCTGAAGAGGCTGAATTACAGTTGGCCCTTGAACAACATGGGTTTGAACAGCATGGGTCCACTTATATAGATTTTTTTCAATAAATATGCAATTGATCCTCTGTAGGTTTCCACATCCACAGATTCAGTTTGACCAGGGATTGAAAACAGTATTTTTGATTTGCGGTTGGGAACCTGTAGATTCAGGGCCGACTGTATGCATTGTTCTGTGCCGTTTTATGTAAGGGACTTGCGCATCCAGGAGTTACGGTATCCGTGGGCATGGGGGCTGTCCAGGAATCAGTCTCCGAAATACTGAGGGATGACTGTCATTAAGTTTTTGGGGTGTGAAAATTCTACATGGATTTTTTTTGACTGTGCATGTTGTTCAAGGATCAACTGTATATTTTAATATAAATACAAGTAATGATTTAGTTAGCAGGTAAGGGTGGTTACATTGGTACAATATCAATTTTGAATGCTACTACAGAGGTATTAACTCTGGATTTTGCCTTATCATATATACATCAAACCTCAATTTTTTATTTTAAAAATTCCATAGTAATACATATTCATCAAAAACAAGAGGACTGTAACAAAGAATACAGAGAAGAAGTATATACCTTTATTTTAGACTTTTTTATAAATTCTACTCCATAGCTGTAACCTCTGTTGACAGCTTATTATGTTTTGATGCAGACTTTTCTATGCATTAAGGATTTTGTAACAGTATATTAGTGGTGTCAAAAGTTGTTGCACTGGAGACTGTATTAGTATTTGCATTCATCAAATTAACTCAGAACTTCTATAAAGTGTCTGCTAAATAAAAAAAAATTTAAGTTTTGACATATGTTATAAAATATATATCTAAAGCATGAGAGGCAAAATAATTTTCTAGATTGATGAACTCTATGCTTCCTTTCCCCCTCTGTGCTTCCTTTTAATAGGAATGTATGTAACTCTAAGTTTCTTTGTTTTCTTTCCTTCTCTTGTTTTTCTCCTCTTTGCCTGACTTCTCTCCCTCTTCTTTCTCCTCCTCCATCTCCTAGGGTTGTTTGGAATTTATTTTAAAGATAGTTTAATTTTGTATGCCACACCATAAAATGGAAATGGAAATTTTATTTGTATTTGTAAATATGTGTGTACATTTATTAATCTTAAAATACCATAAAAATTTTCCATAACACATTTCTACTTGCCTTGTACTTTGGTCATCCTTTTTTTTTTTTCTTTTTGTGAATCCTTAAGAAATTAACCCTTACAGATAGAATTTACATATTAAAAAAATTTAAATCAGATATCCAACATTAAACATTTAATGTTAGGCTAGTTTTTCAAAGGCATTAATATTTTAGAAGTACATTTTGTTGCTAATATTCAATAGGTACAAATGTGTTAACTCATAAAAAACTCCTAACGTTTTATAATTCCTTAAAAACAGTCATTGACACATTTAATAAAAATTAGCAAATGTCCTCTACTATTTTGGGGATTCAGTGTTCCCTAAAGAATTTCTTATAAATTATTTCTGTTTCAGATAATTAAGTGGAGATTGTTTTAGTAACAAATTAAACATTAGGCCCAAGAGAATATTTTTCTTTTAATTGTAATAATCTACAGGAATCTCATTTTTTTTAAAGATTTGAAATTGTAAGTGACTGTAAGAGACTACAAAGGGAATATTTAAAAAATAAGAAATTGGTAAGCTAGGATTATTAAAAATTAGCTAAAGTAAGTATAATTTATTTGTAATGATTTGTTGGTTAACTCTTAGCATGTTGAAAGCTAATAATGTGAACCATGAACCTTGATACCCACATCAGTTGTGTGGATGGGGATGGGGCAGAGATGATGGGCCTGGAGGCGGTTTGCAGGTAAAATCACAATGGAACTCGCCCGCTTCCCACCTGTGTCAGCTCCAGACCTCCTGCACCTGTCTCCAGGAGCGGCAGGTGGATTTAAACACATGATCGAAGGGAGAATTGTTCCAAATACTTCGAAGTTTTTAATGTTGATTGAAATCAATTAGACAATTACTTTTAGTTTTAAAGATTTAATATTGGAATTTAGGATAAAAACCAGTGTTTATTCACCTTTATATTTGTGCTTGAATTTGTCCATGCTTCAAAGTTATATAATATGAACAGTTATCAAGATGTCCTACAGGTTCTGAGTAGGACCTGTATTATTTAGAAATAATAGTAGATATAAATAATTATATATATATAATTATATATATATATAAATAATTATAAATAAATAAATAATTATTTAGCAAGTGAAAGTAGAGAAGAGAGGACAAAGCACTGGTTCTGTGAGTCAGTAGACCTGGGACTTGAATAGCCTGAAGCCTTTTAACATCTCTTCCTGTGAAAAGAGAGTAATTGATCTGATATCCGGAATCTGAGCCAGAAAATGTGTCAATAGCCAAAATGCAGAATTTACCAAAATACTGAATTGGTTCTAATAATGAACAAATACAGTTAACCGTGTCAACAAGAATATTTTAATAATTTTTGATTACTACTGATAGATCAAATAAGCAAAATTTAAATTCAGAATCAATGGGAAGAAAAAAGGTATTTCAATTAAAAATAAGTTCTGATGCAAGGAAACCAGAATATTAGTAATTGAAACACTAATGTGCAGGAAACCAGGATGAACTATGTGAAAAGAAATTTTGGTTAACTGTTTATAACATGTTTTTGTCATCAATAACCAAAATTGGACATTCTTATTAAAGTTATTGAAACATTCCTGATAAATATTCCAACTGGAATATATGAATTGTAGTATTTAGCTAATTGGATTTAGTGAAATTGATTTTCAACGAATTGATCTGCTTCCCCCAAAAGGTGGCTCCGGGTGTCACTGCCTCAGCACTCTGGGAAGCACAGATTGAAAACCGCTGACCCTTACAAACCCTCAAAGGCTTCTCCCAGGACCTAGATTGCACATTTCTGCTGTAATTGGAGGTGGTTTTAACATGAAGCTTTACTCTAACCTTCTATAACTTTTGGTGTTTTTTGCTACAGAATATTTATTTGCTAAGCAGTCAAGTAAGTCTATATGTTAAATATATGTATCTTTTTTTCATTTTAAGGAAACAGAACTGATGCTTTTAATATCTTAAAATAGGGTAGTTAGGGACATGCTTAGTTTCCAGATTTTGAGACCCAAGGTGAGAAGTGTTTGTTACATATCTCTTCTGATAGCAATTTGTTCATAATCTTCATAGGAAAACTACTTTGGGGAAGATGACATGTATATGGATTTTGAAGAGGTTATTTCAAGTCCTGTTCTGTCACTGTCAACATCATCCAGTTCTGGGTGGACTGCTGTCGGAATGGAAAATGACAAAAAGGAAAATGAAAGCTCAGCCAAGTCGATTCATCCGCTTACCTTGCGTCCTTGGGATATCACTGTACTTGTGAATTTGTACAAAGTTCATGGGCGTCTTCCTGTTGTAAGTGTTCACCTATCAAAATAGTCTGGAGTACATTGTGAAATTCACCCAGCATAGGAAACGCTGTGTGTGTGTGTGTGTGTGTGTGTGTGTGTGTGTGTGTACACACACACAAGCACACACTTATAAAAAAGATTCAGATTTGAAAACTTTTATCCTTTTATATCTCTGTAAAGCTAGTTCATTTCTTCATAATGTGATTAACTTGATCATTGATCATTTTCTTTTCTGTTTTTCTCCTTTCACTTTAGCTGCTTCTTTGCTTTTCTGTGTTATTTTAGAACATTTTGTCATGGCATTGAGTTGTTCAGTTTATAATTAGACAGATGGATGTTTTGGGACTTTACATTTTCCTAGCCTTTTTCTCCAACTCCAGACCAGTGTGGGGTCTTATGGTGGACCTACTACAAAATCAGCATTCAGGCTTGGCCTTGGAGGTTGAATAGTGTCGCAGTTTCGGTCCAGCACAGAACCCTGGCTCACTCTAAGGATGAGCCTCCGGCCTGTCAGGGCTGACTTGGAACAAGATTGTATTCCCACAGAACCCAGGGCCAGATAGGGAGGGGGTGGCCCTGAGCTTTCTGCAGCACGCTGGCTCCTTCCATGTCATGGACCTAGGGCTGCACAGCAGAGAAGTCACCGCTGCTGCTCGGTGGACCTAATGTCCTTACTGGGGTCAGAATAGTTCTGTTTGTCAGAAAGCACTGTTTCTCCTTTTAAAAATGTCTTAATTATACAAATGTAATGTTTATTTTCCTGCCCTTTCCTTGATCTTCACTTTTTCCATGTCATGATGATGGTGTTTTGTTTGACTTTAGCACGGAACTGCTGATGGTCCTGAGTGCCCCACAGCTTTCTTGGAAAGACTGTGTTTTGAAATGAAAAAAGGATTTAGGGAGACCATGCTGCAGCTTGTCCTGTCACCTGTGAGTGTGTTCGTCAGTGATAACTATCAGGTAATGTGAGAGCGAGGTGCGGCAGAGACGGAGACTTACTGTTACTCGCTATGGGCCCAAACCATGTGGCAGCTGCTGTGTATGGAATAGACAGCTCTGTAAACTAGAGGCTTTCATTTTAACCACACTAAGAAGTTTTGTATGTGTGGATAAATGTATGACAGTTTTTCAAGAATCTCAGTTTTCTTTTTCTTTCTGCTGGCCCCTACTTATGTGATCCCAAACAATTATATTTTATATCTTACTGTTTTTAGAATTGGAAAGAAGTACTTTATAACTTTCTCATTAATTTATGGAAGGGAAAAAAATGTATAAAATGTTGATAGATTCTGCTAAAAATCACAACCTAAGTATTAATACTAACCAGTGCCATAAATTTTCAAAACATCCATATCTACATGCTCAGTGATTTATTCTTTTCATCTGACATAGTTGCAAGATACTTGTTAATTCTTTCAAGGTATCTCGGGGGCCTTTTTGGGAGAGAACCCATGATATTCATCAGAGATGGGACTAATTCACATTCCTGAATAGATTGTCACTTTATCATTAGAGATCAATGCCAGATGGCTTCTCATAGCATCTGCCACTGCTATAGGGCTCTTCCTTACTTTAGGCAAGTTGTGTGCTTTAGAAATAGATCTGGATTTTAATACAAAGTAAAATTATAAATGGGGGGATGAATCATCAATGGGTGGTAACTTACTATGGGTTCTATGCAGTATTGGTCATCTTACTTAAAACAGCACACCCCCTTTTTCACTCTTTTGCCATAACTGATTATATTTTTCTACATAGAATTTTAATTTACTTTCTCATGTATATACATACATATATATTTATTTCACATAGCTGAGATTATAGTAGCTGAAACTTAACACTTGATATATGCTTGTTTTGCGGTAAACTGTTTCCTTTTTTAAGCTTTTATTTCAAAATAATAATAGATGCACAGGAAGTTGCAAAGTTAGAACAGAGAGGCCCTGTGTCCCCTTCACCCAGTTTTCCCCATGTTGGTCTTTTGCATAAATACAGTGTCCAAACCAGGAAGTTGACATAGGCGCACTGTGTGTGCCTGGTTCTGTGTCATTTCACCACGTCACTGCCACTGGAATCCCGATGCAATACTGTTCTCTCACAAAGATCTCACCTGTGTTAACACTTTTATTTTAACTTGCCATAGAAACCTTAAAAATATCAATAGCTCCTGTCTTCCTGTCTCTAATTAGTACATCATTAGAATTTGTTGTTCTCTATTTTGGGAGGCGAGTTTGTAGAGAGGAAGCCTGTCTTCTTTTTTTAATCTATTAAGGAAATCAGTAAAGGTGAAAGGGAAATATCTCCTTATGGCTGAATTCTGAGAATCTCAGATGAATATCTGATTTCTTATGAGTACCTGGTGGCACTGTAACTTTTATTTTAACCACTGCATGACACTTTACTAGATATAGAAGCATTTTATTGAGCTCATTATGAGAGTTCTCATGGACTATAATCATTGATTTGTACAGATTTGTACAGACTGAAGTATAAAGTCCTATTTGTTTGGTGATTAGAGAAGGACTTTGTGGAGTGGAGGTATCACGGCTGTCATGGAGGCACTGGTGACACGGGGTTTCCTAGACTGTTGGTCCTGAAGACAACAGCACTCCATGTGTTCTCCTGGAATTTCTTACCTCCGTAACTCACTCACGTTTAGTAGTGCTGGCGGGACTGTTGCCAGGAAATCATCTCTTCTTTGGTCTCCACACTGCCTACTGTTTTTTCCTGGTGGGAGGCTTCACACTGACTGTCCCCCAGGGTCAGTCTTGGGTCGCTCACTATAGGTGTTTATTCCTGGCGGCATTAGTCAGGGCTTCAAGGTTAAGGATCCAAAGTGACGGATTATTGTGTTTGACCTAGGAAACCACACATTTTACTTCACGATCATCTTATGACGTGTGTTAGTTTCCTAGGACTACTGTAGCAAACTGCTCCACCCAAGGTGGCTTGAAACAACAGATTTATTCTCTGCCAGTTCTGTAGCCAAGATGTCTGAAATAGGTTTGGGCGGGGCCGTGCTCTCTGAAGGCTGTTGGAGAGGATTCGGCTTTGCCTCTTTCTAGCTTTGGTGGCTGCTAACAATCCTTGGCCTTTCTTGTCTTATAGACATGTCACTCAAATCTTGGCCTCTGTCTTCATATGGCATCTGTCTGTGTATGCATGTCCCTATTCTCCTGTTATGAGGACACTAGTCATTGGATTAAGGCCCACCCTAATCCAGCATAGCCTCACTTTAATTTGAGTGCATCTGTCAAGACCCCTGTCCAAACAAGGTCACATTCACAGATACCCGGGCTTAGGACTTGAAAATACCTTTTTGGAAGACACCATTCATCTCACAACATGGTGCAAGCCATAATAAAATTTAACATATAATCTTATTGGTGTGCTAGGTAAGCTGTAGCTTTAGGACAAGCCACATATATTTTTGAGCTAAAAAAAAATTATACTGTCACACAGCTTAGATGAAAATAAAAAAATAAATGTGATATATACATAGATGATGTATTATAGCATTGTACACTTGAAACCTATGTAATTTTACTACCCATTGTCACCCCCAATAAATTGTAATAAAAAAATAAAATGAAAACTGTATCAGAAGAGCTTCTAGAACTACATTGTGATCACAATTTGAAATTTCCTTTTAAGAAGTCCCTATGAATGATATTTAGCCCTCATTCTTAAAAAATGTTAAGAACGCATTTCCCCAAATGTGTTGAAACAGGGAACACTAACCCTGTGAGATGGCCAGCGCGCATGCACTGAGAGACTGCCATGCTCAGTCAGCCTGGGGAATACCTGCGGGCGTCTCAGGGTGTTAGAGGCTCTGAGAAGGCTTGCTCTGAAGACATCTGTATAGTCTTAGAGACTTTCTTTGCAATATTGCTGCTTTTTAGTCGTGAGTATATAATTATTCCCTGTAAGATAAGTCCTTTTTATATTTACACAGTTCCCAAAATTTGTCTGGAAGATGACACCAGCGTGGCGCCCTTCCCCAGTTCTTCATTTTCTGTTCTGTTGGTCCTTGCTGGTTCCCTATTAGTTCCTCCTTTTTCATATTTTAATCTCATGATTCCTGCCTTCCTTGAGGAGACTGGTCTGTTACTTCCCCTGTCAGAATACTGGTTTCTTTTTGCTCCTCAAGGTCGTTACCAGTCAGAGACACTGCATTCTTCTTAGGACTTTGCTGCCTTGCTTTCAGTTGGGCTCATGGATGTCGTCACTACAGAAGCTGAACTCAGACACTCATATGGGTACAGGGATGTGTTAGGAGCTTGTGGGTCCTGGACCCTTATTTTCCGGAGAGCATGTTTTACTGTTTGTCTCTAGGGAGAAAAACAACTAGAAATAGTAATGCGATTTTCTTGTGCTTCTTACAGTCCTATTGTTATTGTTTTCAGCAGCGACCTCCTGTGGATGAAGTTCTTAGGGAAGGTCACATCAGTTTGTCTGGCCTCCAGCTGAGAGCACATGCTATGTTCTCAGCAGAAGGCCTTCCTCTGGGAAGTGATTCCTTAGAATACGCCTGGCTAATTGACGTGCAGGCGGGAAGCCTTACAGCCAAGGTCACGGCACCACAGGTATGACTCTCAGCGCTCTCGCCTCACTTCCTTTTCTTCACTCACCCGGTGCCCCAAGAGGAAATTGTAGGACCGTTTGAATGTTCATTGCATTGCCACTAATGGCGTTCTGATGGCCAGACAGCCCTTTGCTTTTTGAATGGATGTCATTCTTGACATTCGGAATTTTCTTGGCAATAGATGAGTCAGAGACAAGTTTCACTTTTCTGAGCCACATAAAACTGATGGGTGTAATGTTTCGTAGTTATGCATAGTACTTTAAAGATTTTGAGACTTTCTTTGGGAAAAACTGAGGGTAAGTAAGATATATTATGTATGGTACATACATATTATAGAGAGAGTATATATATTATTAAAATTATATTATTAAAAGTTGGTTCTCCACTGTTGAAACAATCTTCTTTTCTCAGTATATAGAATAATTTTCTAAGAACTTTGATTTTCTTATGTAGTTCTTAAGTAGGATTTGAAAATAGCCCTTATGGTATTAAGGGTTAGGTAGCCTAGTTCTTTACTTGCCACATCCTGAAGGAAGATAATGTCATTTGTACCTGCTATTAGTGATGCGGATACTGGTTAAAAAAACAAAAATGAATTTACTCGTAAGCAGACCTGGTCTGGAGTGCTGGTTGTGAGCCTTTGGATAAATTCCCCCTCCCCTTCACCATCGTGCTGTCTTTAGAAGACTCAGAGGCCTTGGGATTATTTAGTTCTATAAATAAACGACTGAAATTGAGTTGAATAGCCATTTTACTGTGTAACATTTCAGCTGTTGAGCCATATATTTATGGCAATATGCATGTTTATCTTGGCATTTCAAAATACTGGAATGTGGCAGAAATGTACGTACTCAATTTTAATAAAAATTTACAGAATGAGTATGAAAACATAATTTAGAGGTAGGTAGTAGCAACAAGAAGGTGAATAAAGAATCTAAGTACCTTGTATATCTGAAAGAAATTGTTGGAAGCTAGCAAAAATTAAGATTCTAGAAATAGTAGGAAAATGAATGGAATTGCAAAGGGACATTTTATTAAAAAAAGGGTGAAAAAATGTATCACAGAATGTATGAAAATGGGTGAAAAAGAAGTATTCAGTGCTCACTGGCCTCATTCCTGCCCTCTCCGTATTATCCACCGTTTCCTGTCTATATAAACAAGTAAAAGCTGGAGCATGTAGCAAAGCAGCTTCCCCTGGTGAGCCCGGAACAAAGCCGTGCTCACCCCGCCAGACTGGACACAACTCTTAATCTTAGGATCGCTAGACTCGCGTATGTTTATAAATTGCACTTATTAGAAGAGGGAACATTTTCTTCTGCATTGGAATCCTGGCATCGCTGTTTCTTGTGAGGTTCATGAGTCTGTGGGTGCTTCTAATGCTTCTGCCGTTGTTTGTATCTTTTAAAAGTGAAGTTTATGTTTTCCGGAAGTTTAAATTATGTACATTTTAGGGGGATAATATCATGTATCCCACAGCTGAATGTGTTTATTAACAACTCTAATCGATTATAAAATTAAGGGTTTTTTAACTAGAGTTTGGATGAAGAGTTGATTATGGTTACTTAAGCTTCTATTTACTTAAACAAAAATGCTTTAATCTTCAAATGCCTGATTTTCTAAAATTGTAGATCAAAATGATAATTAAATACTCAAAAATTTCACATCAAAAGTTGGTTGGTTATTAGGTAGAGGATTTTAGGTGCTTTGTAGGCCGAGGATTACACTTAGTCATATAAGAAGAAAGATATAACCTTGAGGAAAAGTACTTGCTTTAGAAACTCAATTTTTCACTTGAAATGAGTTTTCATTCTGGCAATGTATTTTGTCATTCACAAATGAAAAGTAACACAAGTTTATAAATGATGTCAAAGTAGAAAATCATGATATTGGCTAACAAGTAGATGAGGTAGCTGCAGGTATAAGATGGTGTTTGGGTTCTTTCAAGTTCTGTTAATATTCTTGATTAGCGTTTGAGCTCCGAACATGTGTTTAGTGTGCTAACTCTTGTCAACCTGTCACTGCTTATTTGTAGCTGGCTTGTCTCTTGGAGTGGGGGCAGACATTTGTTTTTCATGTGGTGTGTCGGGAATATGAACTGGAAAGACCCAAATCAGTAATAATATGTCAGCATGGGATTGATCGTCGGTTCTGCGAATCCAAGGTATGTTATCAAATATGTTAGCAGTATTACAGACATTTACGGATTTTTTAAAATGAAAGATGGAGATATCAGCTTTAAATCTAGTGCACATAGCCAAGAAGTAAACACTGCAGATCAGTTTTTTCAGTTAAGAAAATTGTTTTTGTGAGTTTGTAGCTACTTGTTATTTAGTTGTATCTACAATAATATATGAGGTAATTATTAAAACATGCATTCACAAATAAATGGAGCTATTATGAAAATTATATCCTATCTCTTACATTTTTATTGTAACACTTCGATCTTATTGCATTATTACACTCACTCTTTGGGATGTGGCTGTATATTTATGTAGAAGATTCAGAAACTGAAGCAAGAGGAAGTTTAGATTCCTTACATGAATTCGCTGGCAGATCCCCCTGGAATGTACCTACCTGTTCTCCTACAATATGATTAGCAGTGGTGGGCATTGGCCAGCTCTCCTGACTTCAGATCTTAGGTTCTTTCCACAGTACTGCAGTACCTCGACTCAGGGTCATTTACAGTACCTTTAGGAGACTTGCAAAGTAGACAGTAATCCCTAAAACCATATGCAATGATATGACATGCAGAGTGTTACTTTGCAGTAAATACTATTTCTTATCAATTTGAGGGTGGGGAGAATTTTTTTATTTTGAAGTATGCTCATTGCAGAAAATCTGGAAAACATGGCAGTTTCAAAGAAGAAAACTTTCCCCAATTCTATCCACACAAAGATAACCATTAGCAGTTTAGTTTTTCTTTCTAGTTCCTTTTCTATATGTGTCTTTCCTTTTTCTTTTGCTTTGTAAGCTATATTCATTTGTTATTACTGTAAATTGAACATAAATCATCCTACTTTTAATTTTATGTCCAAAAACCTGTAGTCCATGCTTATTTACCGACAATAAAGGAAACCGCTATAATTGATGATGAAATTTGTTTTTCTGGTTATAAACACATTGCCGGACCACAGGGAATTAGTTCCTTAGCCATGTGTCAGACAGTGAGTTTCTTATGGATAATTCACACATGCTTGTAGACATCTCCTCCTTTCTTTATTTTTTTTAATACTCAAAGCTTTTATGTTACATTAAAAAAATTTTAAATCAACTTTATTGAGGCATACTTTACATACAATAAACTCACCCTTTTTAAGTTGTGGAGTTTGAGTTTTGACAAATGTGATGTATACCGGTGTGACCATTCCCACCAGCGAAGACCTGGGGCATTTCTATCACCTTAGAAAGTGCCTTGTGTCCCTTGGCAGTTGGCTGCTATGCCATGCAACCGATGGTATGCTTTCTGTCATCTTAGATTTTTTAAAGTCTATTTTGTATGGAGGAAATGTATTCGTACGGAGTACTCTGCCACTAATGAGCAGTTACATGCTTTTCCCAGGGCTATCATTTCCCCCAAGAAGTTCATGGAAGTAGGTGATGTGTATGTTTATGTTAGACCTAAAACAACCAAGTCTATGTTTTAGGTGTCAGACAAAATTAAATCTGTGTGGATTGTCCTAGATATCATCATAAAATTTACAGTTGACGTGTGTGTGTGTGTGTGTGAAGTACTCATGAGAAAATCATACAACTTTAAAGTCCTATACAGTTCTTATAAACCAATGACATTGTTTACTTGTTAGTTAACCTTCACTATTGTTTTTGAATTTCAATAACAAGTTATATATGAATTCTGTCAATTTAGACTTACTACTTGGTCCTTTTAAATGAAAAAAGGTACATAGATACTTATGATTAGTTTTCTAATTGGTAAGACTTTAATTGCTGATTATTTTATTTATCATTATAAAAAAGTGAAATTTATTCAATTGATTTTTTAAAATGCACATGTAATCAGAATTTTGTATTTTTTTTTAAATTTAAATAAGGAGACAAGTATCAAAATAATGAACTGATGGTGAAGAATGAAATGTTTGATCCTTTTTCATTCTAGTTGAGTTGTATTCCTGGGCCGTGTCCAGCTTCAGATGATTTGAAATACACTATGACTCGTTTAGCAGTGGATGGAGCTGACGTTTACATTGTGGAGCATGGCTGTGCTACAAATATCAAGGTACACACTTGTCTGTTTCTTGGACAGTGTACTTCATTTTCCTTTGTACCAAACCAAACCAAACCTCCATTTCTTGAAATACAACACACATTTATAGTTTGCCACTGTATCAAAAACTACAAAATTCTGGGAGATAGCTTTCTGTTTTTTTACTCACCCATGTTCTCTTCCAGTATTATTTTTTAAGGCATATTTTCACTACTTTTTTACTCTGAATTATTATAACATTGCTTTATGACATGATAGTAACTTGGTATGTTTTTCAAAGATTTGATTTTGAATGCCTTTAGGTTTTATACATTTAGAGTTCCTGCCTGGCGCCTGAAAACATTTGTTTGCCACCTTTGCTTTAAGGGTTACTGTTTAAAATCAAACCTTGTTAATAAGATTCTGTGATTTCATTACTTACTACCTTCTAAGGTTTTTTTTCTGCTTCTCCTGTTTTTGTTTGTTTGTTTTGATTTATGTTTTTCTTCTATCTTCTGTTTTTAAAATTGAAAGACTATTTTTATTCTGTTGCATTTATCTTTTCTATATCTCTTCCCCCTTTTTTCCCCTTTCCCTTTGTTTTCGTCTGTCTGTCTTTCATGCATTTTGAAATAATTACCTATTCTGTAGTTTATTCTAAATTGCTGAAAATACAAAAACTAGAGTGTTGTTTCGTTTCCTTCATTTGACTTTAGATGGGTGCAATTCGGGTTGCGAACTGTAATCTGCACAATCAGTCGGTCGGCGAAGGGATAAGCGCTGCCATTCAGGACTTCCAAGTGAGACAGTACATTGAACAGCTGAGCAATTCCAGAGTGGGCTTCCAGCCCGCCATCCTGCGGAGGGCCTGCTGGCTTGAGGCTGGGTCGGCCAGCTTAGGCCTTATCACTGTGGATGTCGCCCTGGCCGCTGATCACCATTCTAAACATGAGGCCCAAAGGCATTTCTTAGAAACTCATGATGCCAGAACTAAGAGGTAAGTGGAAGCTAAGACCGGTAATAGCCTCACTTTCAGATGAATATTGCTAGCTAATTAGAGGAAATTCTACTGTTAGGAGTGGGATAATATTTTAAATGAAGACCTAAAATGATTGTGTCCCTACGTGGTCACTCACTGACCCTCAGCTCTGGGTGCCTGTGTGGATATTTGATTCCCAAGAGTTTTGGAGCAGGTATATTCATTTCTGATATAACCTGAAAAGTTAGTGAACACATAAGCCATTAGTTTTATTAGATTAATGTTTCTGAAAAGTATAGTTTCCAAACCACTAGCACCAACATCTCCTTGGAACGTGTTAGAAATTTACATAATTAGGCCTTCCCAGACCTCAGTCTGAAACTGGGGGGTAGGGGGGTAGCCCAGCCGTTCATTTTCATACGCCATCCAGGTGATTCCCACACAAGCTGAAGCTTGAGAACCAGTGCACTGCATTGGATGAAGGTGGGCGAGGGGCGCTTCCGTCTGGTACCCCCTTGTGTTCCACATTTGGCATCAGGTGCTTTATGTACGTGATACCATGTAATTCTAACAACAATCTTTTTAGGTATATCAGACCATAATTTTACAGGTGAGGAAACTGAGGCTCAAATGTTAACTAACTTGTCCAAAATCCTAGAGTTATTAAACGGCACAGCTAGAATTTGATGTTACCTGTAGATGACTGCAAAGCCATGCATTCTACTAAGCTTTTGCTGCACAAATCAAGTAAAAGAGTATATGGGACATATAAGGTCTATTATTTTGATAGTGCTTTAAAATATTTTTGCTGAATGACCAAATCTTAATGTGTTAAAATAGAGAAGTGATTTGAAATGGATAACATCTAATTGAAATAATTCCTTAAATTCTCCCTCATCCTAAGGCTTTCTCACATTTTTTTTCCTTCTGTCTTCTCTGGACTGCTGTTCCACTTCTAACTTGATATATTTATTTCAGGTCATCTATCACCTCTCAAACATCACTTTTTGAAAGATTCCTCGTTTTCTTTACCTAGCATAGAACTAGGTACATAGTAGATGCAAATGAATGAATGTGAAATGAAAATGATGATAATTCTGTCTTCCTGTGAGGGCCCTGAGGACCCACTGAGATAATGCATGTGGAAAAAGGAATAAAGATATAACTCAGATTTGTATTATATAATATTTTTTAAGAAAGGAGGAGAGTTTATAAACACTGACAGATTTGTGTGTGTGTGTGTACTCACAGAGCCTGAACAATTGTGAATACATTTTCTTTTATTGTCGCAATTCTTAATGCTTCATTTAGAGTACTTAGTACAAAATTATTATAAATTTTGTTTCTCTAGAATATAGAATAGTGCATTATTTTGGTTTTATTGAGAAATCATTTCTTTCCCCATTTTTATAATATTTTGGTGAATTAAATTTGCCATGTGAAATAGGCTCTGAAACGCTAAAGGTAATGAATTTTGAATTAAGCATAGTCTATATTAATAGTGTAGTCCATTTTTTCGATTAATGTTTAAAATTTTTAGTCCTCTTGAGAATATTTTCTGCTGTTTTTAAACTGGATTGAAATAATTTTTATAATTAGCCCTTTGGCTTTTTTTAAATGTATACTATATCTTATATGGTTCCTATTTATTTCCGTCTCACCATGGTGAGACTATTGTTTGTTTTTTAGAATGGCAAAATGATTAAAAAGAATGCCACAGGAAAAATAAACCTTTGTGTTTACATTGACTTTTAAAAGTATCACCAATTAACTCATATTTATCTGTCAAAAAGTTTTTCTTTTCTTAGTGAGTTTTTATTATGTTGTTATTTTCTGTTGTTCTTGTTTTGGGTTCTGCTTAGGTTGTGGTTTCTGTGGCCAGATGACACCCTGAAGAGTAAGAGGTACAGAAACAAGTGTGGCTGTCTCGGCGGCTGCAGGTTCTTTGGCGGCACAGTAACTGGCCTAGATTTCTTCAAACTCGAAGAGTTGACACCTTCCAGTAGCTCTGCATTTTCAAGCACGAGTGCAGAATCTGATATGTATTATGGACAGTCTCTGCTGCAGCCTGGAGAATGGATTATTACTAAGGAAATTCCCAAAATTGTGGATGGTAATGAAATATGTTTTGTCACTTGTGCTAATCTTTTCTTTATCCCCGTGCCATTCTGAGAGTAGCTCAGTGTTACATTGCTGAACTCAGTTCTTTGAGCGGTCTCAGAGGTGGGGTTCAGTGTATCTGCCTTTATTGTACAGGTGATTTAACTGAAGCCAGACAAGACTAGTGAGTTTTTCAGTTACGCGAGGCAACAGTAGGTCCATTATTCAGATCTCCAGTTGTTGACATGGTCCATTTTCCTAGCCAGGCTTATTCTGAATATTCCTTTTTTAATCGTTATTTCCCTAGAATCCAGCTTCCAGAGACATACTTCGAAATAGTTGCTATTTCAAGCTCACAGTTATTTTACTAGTTTACTTTGATAGGAAAACTTATCAGTAGTAATACTTATGCCATTGGGCCCTGTGTTGTCAACCACTTTTGCAAAATACTCTCCTTATCACTAAAATTGAACATGTCAAGAAGAAAAATGTGGCCTTTCCTTAGACCCTGTAGGATAACTTTATAAATATGTGCGTTTGGCATGAGCAGAGAAGGGCGTATTCCCCACGTGTGAGATTTAGATCTACTAGGATCTGTTCTCTAAAGACTTCAGAAATGGATTTTCCCTTGGGTTTCTAGTTCTGTGTTCCTACAGTTAAGTGCAATATTTATTGCTTAAGTTGCCATGCTGTTGACAAGTGAAGTGTACACAAGTCTTGATATTTCACCAGTATTTAGCCTTTTTTCCTTAGTCCACTCAAAAATATTAACTTAGCACTGCCTTTTGTGAGTATCAAACAAAGACAGGAAAAAAACAGGTTTAGTGTTTGTTGGATTGATTTCCCATAAGGAGCTCTTACCAGATAGAGCTGGACTACATATGCCCAAATCCTATTTAAATACTTTTTCACTGCATAGTAATATATAAGTATGTACATGGTATTTTAAGGTTGTTTGATTTCAGTAGTTTTGCTGTGATAAGAGCAGATTATTTTATGAAATTAGCCCAAACACAAAATTTCTTCACATGTAAAGGATAAAAAAGATACTAAGTACAATTTAATTCAGGTTCCTTCATATTACTTTTTTACATTTGAATCATGTTTGTGTTTAAAGATTTCCCAGGCATTTTCTCATTTTATCCCCAAGATACCATGTGAGTTGTATGCTTTCCCCATTTGTAGTGAATAGATGAAGGCTCGTCACTGAGACTGAGTTTCATGACGTCATACAGCCCAGCATGGCTGAGCAGAAACTAGAATCAGGGCCATCTCCCTCCCCCCACCATTACATAACATCACAGGGCTCTTATAATAGGCTGAGGAAATGGTCCAGATTAAAGACATGACAACCAAATGCAGTAATATATGATCCTGGATTAGATCATATACTAGAGTGGGCAGAAGTGCTGTAAAGGCCATTTTGGGCCAATTGAGAATATTGGAAAGCACACAGGAGGTAGATAACACTGCTGCATAAGTACTACGCTTATCAAGTTGATAATATGTAACTATACATTTTAGTCTTAGGAAATAAACACGTGTCTAGGGTAAAAGGCCACAATGTTGGCAAGTTACTCTCAGGTGGTTCAAAAAATATGTGTATTATATATAAATAGAGCAAATGGGACAAAAGTATTATTTAAAGTGGGTAATTACAAGTAAAAGATACATGGTGGCTTTGTACTGTTCTTCAGAGTTTTCCGTAAGTTTGAAAATTTTCAAATATAAGTTTAAAAAATAGAAAGGAAAACAAATTCACTATCCATGAACTCTGGGTCCATAGTTAATGTGGATATGTTGCTGTGTGAAATTAGATGCTTGTGCTTTTTAAAAATGATGATACTTAAAACCAGGGAACTGAATTAAACTGTCAGATTTTCCATAAATTGCTTCTGAACGCAGTGTGTTCAGGTAGCGAGCGTCCTTTCTCGCGTGTTGGTTCAGGTAACGCGAGCGGCGTGAGGAGGAAGGATCGGGAGAGCAAGCCGGCGGGGCCGGACGCAGAGCGGAAGGCGCAGCACCTCAGCCTGCAGGTGCCGCTGCGGCCGCACAGCTCCTCCTCGTCCTCGGAAGAGAACAGCAGCTCCAGCGCCGCGCAGCCGCTGCTGGCCGGCGACAAGGAGAGCCCCTCCTCGGGCGCGGACGAGCATCTGCTCCAGAAGGAGTTCTCGCGCGGCGCCGAGGGAGACGACGGCCAAGCGAGGTGGGTGATCGCGCAGCCGGAACCTGGTCATCACGGGGCTATGACTGCGCCGCGCTGTGGCCAGAAACACTTGCCTTTCGGGTCACCCACTGTAGAGTTTTGTTTTTCTCTTCCTGAACATGTTTTTAAATGTTCACTTGCCATTGTCTTTCTGATTGTAATAGTAAGACACATATGGTCATTCCAGATATTAGGAAAAGACAGAAAAGTGGAACGAAACTAAATATTTCTGGTCATCCTACCACTGAGAGCGAACCACTGTTAACCTTTGGGTCTTGGCCTTCCAGTGTGGTGAATATTTTTTGGTCGTCATCCTCTTATCATAGCTGATTACTCGTTTCTTGAAACACACTTTCCTCTGGACTGGAGAGCACGTTTCCGATTTCCGTTCCACCTCCTGGCTATGCCTTCTAAGTGTCTATTTTCACATCTTCCACTTTTCCCTCCCTTTCTCACCTTCCTCTTCCAGGCGGTCGTTTGGTAACTGTGGCTGTCCCTCAGGACTCTTGTTCTGTGCCCTTTGCTCCACTCAGCCTGTACTATTTTCCCAGACAGTCTCAATAACTACTTGGCTTCAGTTAGGAGTTGTAGCTAACATCTTTCAACTCTAGCCGAAACCTTTGTCCCTATAAGCCCAGTTACCTTCTTGATCGACCTACTTGGGTGTTTCATGGAGACCTCAAGCTTGACATAGAAAGAATGACCTTTGGCCTGTCATGGTCAACTTGTTCTGCCTCAGTAGACGGCAGTGCGCCCTCAGTTGCCTAAGTCAGGAATATTGCTGCTCCCCTTGACTTCTCCCTCTCCGTCAATGCCTCTCGTTTAATCAAAGGCTATTGGTATACTTTGTTGGACAAACTTTTAAAAGATATGAAGAAAAAACACCTTATATAAATGAATTATTGTTCATGGATTATGGATAAAAGATTATACTCAGGGTTTCTTTAAGTTTTTATTGTTTTAAGCTGCCTGCACTGTTTGTTTTTTTTTTTTTTAAAGATTTTTATTGGGGAATTGGGGGGATGGGAACAGTGCTGGGGAATTGGGGAAAGGGGAACAGACAAGTTGCTGTTGTTTTGTTCTTCAATCTAGTTGTGGAGGATGTTGCTTCACTGGCCCAAGTTGGCACCATCATTGCGCTCTTCTTTGGTGAGGCAGATCAGTCGCCGGCTTCTGGACGGCCGCTCACTGCGGCTGCTGGCCGCTCACGCTGGCTGCTGGCTACATACGGTAGCCCATGGCAACCCACTGCCACAGGGAGTGCAGCCTATGCCGTCGCCAGCGACTCATGGCAGCCCAGCTCCAGGTTGAGCTGTCATTCAGCATCTTAGCTGTGGAGGGCAGTGTCACTGGCCCTCATATGTGGGATCCGAACCGGGGCCCTCTGGCATCCCAAGCGAGTTCTTAACCATCGCGCCACTCGGCCGGCCCTGCACTGTTTTTTGAACTATATGGGGTATGAACACATATTGTGCTGTTCATTACTTTGTATGGGCATTTTATTGTAAAATTTTAGATTTTCCTATATCTGTAAGATAAATGACTAAAATTACTAAAAGGATTTTATAAGTACTTCTATTTGTCCTTAAAGTAGATTGCATGATGTGCAATAAATGGTAATGGCTTTGCTTCCTGTTTTAGTGTTCCTTCAGAAATTTCAGGAAACAGCCCCGTGTCTCCTAATACTCAGGACAAGTCGGTAGGCCAGTCTCCCTTGCGGTCCCCCTTGAAACGACAAGCCTCTGTGTGTCCCACCCGGCTCGGAAGCACCAAGAGCCTCACTGCTGCCTTTTATGGGGACAAGCAGCCTGTGACAGTTGGAGTCCAGTTTAGTAGTGACGTCTCCAGAAGTGATGAGAATGTACTCGACTCACCAAAGCAGAGAAGGAGTTTTGGTTCGTTTCCTTACACACCATCAGCGGACTCGAATTCATTTCATCAGTACCGGTCCATGGATTCCAGCATGTCAATGGCTGACAGTGAGGCCTACTTCTCTGCAGCTGAAGAATTTGAGCCCATTAGCAGCGATGAAGGCCCCGGAACTTACCCAGGCAGAAAAAAGAAGAAAAAACAAACCCAGCAGATAGACTACAGCAGGGGTTCCATCTATCACAGTGTAGAAGGCCCACTCACCGGCCATGGAGAAAGCATCCAGGATCCCCGAACTCTGCCATTCAGAACCCATCCTTCCCAGGCCTCCTTTGTCTCCGCATTAGGCGGAGAGGATGATGTCACAGAACATCTGTATGTCGTAGAGGGAGAGAAGATGGGAGAGAGCGAACAGATTACTTCTCAGCAGCCCGTGATGAGCTGTTACCAGACTTACCTCACTCAGTTCCAGGTAGTTAACTGGTCAGCGAAGCACCCAGCCAACAAAAGGACCTCCAAGTCTTCCCTGCACCGTCCGCTCGACCTGGACACACCGACCAGTGAGGAGAGTTCATCATCATTGGAGCAGCTGTCTGTTCCAACTTTTAAGGTATAAACCAAATCATCCCTGACGTATTTATTTAGATTAATCGACTTTGAAGATGTTGTTTTCAAAATTATGCTCTCAGTCATTTTAGCTACCTTTCTGAAAGAATTTCTGAAGTCATGGCTTCATGTATGAGAGCAGGTCTCAGTTGTTGGGTATTATAAATGCAAGCATATCAGATTGAGGAATATTTTGATACTTGATTGTCTCATACTTTGAGTATCTACATAATAGTCTAAGATTAGGATCAAGTCTCTAAATTCATATTTTCTGCATCTTAAAAATAAATTTTGAAATGGTTTTTAGCAGTCGGTATTCTTTCTCCTAATCCTTAACTGCTTCTATGCAAATCTAGTTCCACTCACTTGACATATGAGGTCTTCTAATTTAGTATGAATTAGTTATTGTCCACTTCTGTAAATAGCTTTTTTTAGGAAAGCTAAAAATAAGTCAAAATAAATGTTGTGATGATAGCCAATATGAAAACTATTTTATGAAAGTATACATTTATAAAAGAAATTTTTATAATTTTAAGGACCAAATTTAAGTCTATAAAATCTTATGGAACTGATTAACAATGTTCAGGACTCTTATGTGGGATATATATATATATATATATATATATATATATATATATATATATACACACACACACACACACACACTTATTTAAAGGTCTAAATGTTACTGTATTCATTCCTAATGCAGAGATTTTTTTACGTACCACTGCGTGTCGGGCATTTGGTGTGCGCTGATGATGGACATGGAGCTTACGGTTTAGGGGTGGGAGACAGACGGTTAATAGATAAATGGATAAGTATATGATTACAAATTGAGAAGCCTTATGAAGATAAGCAAAGAATACTGGGATAGAGAATAATGGGGTGGGCTAATGATCGAATTGCCATGAAAGGTCTAGCTGAAGTAGTATTTAGACTGAAACTTAAAGGATGAGAGGTGAGGCTGGGAAGACCTGGGGACTGCACTTGGGGTGCCCGCATCAGCCTCGCCGAAGGTGTGAGGTGGGAAAGAAGTCTGTGCGTGAGGCGCAGTGAGTTCTGGGGACCTGCCCCAGGTAGCTGGAGGCCTGAGCAGGGGTTACAGACCAGGGTTTCGGCAGCTAGAATTTATGTTAACTTCCTTGGGAAACTGGTGAGAGCTTCAAGGAAATGTGATGCGACCTCATGTACTAAGTGGAATTTGATATTAAGCCACTAAGTGGAATTTGATCTCAAGCAAGAGGGGAAGTGAGCTGACCACTTAGGAGGCTGTGACAGCAGTCTGTGCGAGGGATGATGGGCTTGGACTTAAGTAAGATGGAAATGGGGTAAATGGAGTTGAATATCCTTATAGATATACATGTACATATATATGTATGTAAGTGTGGATTAAAGGAAGAAGGGACATTAGTGACATTGACAAAGTTTCGGTTTGTGCACATTTCTTGGCCCAAGATAAGGTGCTTCTGCTATGATTTCACATGTTTTCCTTATTCCATATGAAAGTGTTGGTATCTGAATTTTCCAGCATAAAACCGAATGGTATTTGCTGTGCAGAATATTACCTGACAGGTTAGAATTATTTTGGTATTTTCAATAAATCCTAGTTTGATTAGGCTGTCAAATATCTGGAAAAGTAAGTCCGGGAATTCATATCCTTAGATAACATCATAAGTAAAAAAAGTTATTCTCCATTAAATCTAAATAACTGGCTAACATTTAAAAGGGTTCAGTGTGATCATTTAAGCGCATTATTTGTATTATTTATCTTTTATGAATCTAAAATACAGTCTAGCTTTTCTTATAATGTAGTGTTCCTATGGGGTTCTTCCCCACTTAAAAGCTGATTGTGCTGGGAAAAGACTAGAAAATTATCTTAAAAGCTCAATTTAAAAGGAACTCTGGAAGAAAGCCATTTGAAGCACGTACTTTTAAGCTTTGTTGGACAGCCTTTTACTCTCACTGCTGAGTCTTTACAGCCCTGCCTTGTCATTTGCAACAGAAAATCAAATTGCCAAATGAATAGTTTCTGTGATTTTTCTCAATTTATCAAATACTTATATTGTATATGTCAAAATATATTTACAGGGTCATCTGGATATTCACAAATAATTAGTCCATAGCATAAAATTAGAGAATAATTAAAATTCTAGACTCTAAGTAATGTTTTACCTGATTCTAGGTTATCAAACAGGGACTCACAGCTAATTCTTTACTAGACAGAGGAATGCAACTTTCAGGATCAACTTCAAAGTAAGTAAAAATTACACACTTTTGACATTTAAAGTCTGTCTTCCTTGATTATGAGAATTGCATAGTTGATTCGGAGAAATCACATTCTTTACTTGACTGTAGATTTTATTTTATGAACAAATTATCCTAAATAATTCAGTTCTGTTGTCTCTCATGGCTTTCCCTGCATTTATAAGCAGTCGGTAGCATTTCTATTAGCATACTCAAGCCATCACTCGGCATATCAAAACTGGGAGCTAACAAGAATTCAGAATCGTAGTGTTCATATTTTGGAAAAGTCCCGTCAAGAAAATATATCAAAAATGTTTTTCACATTTGATGTATTAACTATCCTTGATCCATTTGCATTTTAGTACATTTGTCCTCTTTGAGAAGTACTTGGGACATAAATAGTCCAATTCCATGAAATTTTTAGTTGAAATAAATGTAGATTTAAGTGGACACTCATCTTAAGGAAGCTCCAACTTCTACCCTTTTTCATGGTCTTTGTAATCTGTGCTTTGTTGTTAAATTGCATAGTACACCTTATACGCCCCTGGAAAAGAAAATTGCTGATAACACAGATGAGGAAACATTCACAGAGGAGTGGACCCTGGATCAGCCAGTGTCTCAGACCAGGACAACAGCCATAGTTGAAGTAAAAGGGACCGTTGATATTGTTCTGACTCCCCTGGTGGCTGAAGCTTTAGACAGGTAAGAATTTTGTCTGCAACTATAGCTATTATTTTATAAAATATTAGATGTATGTGATATCATTAGTGTATGTGATATATGTTCTTAAAGAAGAATGTTGATAATAGCTATTTTGATTAAACAAAAATGAAAATATGTTTAAAAAGGTCTCTGTTACAATTAGTTATCATTTGTTACTTTTTCAGCCCAAATAATTTTATTGCAATATTGTAATAATTACATTGCATTATATTTTCTTTTTTTGCTTTTGTACTGATGAGCATAAAATGACCAAATAGCCAGTAACTAATTATTATGTTTGATATTCTTACTGCTGTCTACTTCATGGAGGGACAAAAGGGAAATAATAGGTTCTCTGTCCTGTAAGAAGCTTATAGTTTATCTAGGGAGATTAAAGTAACATGACTGAAATCTAGAATGGAACATAAGTGGAGCAGTTTCAATAAAGTAGATCACTGTGTTAAGTGATACTCACGTTTTGCATTTACTGTTCCTCTTCCCTCAGATACATTGAAGCAATGGTTCATCGTGCCAGCACCCGCCATCCAGCTGGGATCGTAGACAATCTACACACCCAAGTCCTCAGGGAAGCTGTCCAGAATAGCAAGACTACCTTCTCAGAAAATGTGAGAACTTTTTATTCAGGAGAGTGTGGCAAATTGAGTATTCTTCATGGGTACATAATATCCAAACTTGAAAAAATTTGAATGTATTAAAATTTTATTGGCCATTTAAATTGGAATCCATGGACATTTCTGAATAGTTTTTATATGTCATTGGCTCCATAAGAGATAGCATGTATAACTATACTATGGGTTAAGTAGAAGTCAACTATGAAAATATAGCTTATTTTATTATTTTTTTTTAATTTCAGAAGTAGCTTACTTCTAATCCTTTCCTAAAGAGCTTTGGTCCTAAGTGAATGAGCATTTTTTAGGACTGCTACGTTCATCTCTAAGAAAGCAAAGCTACATATTATTTTGGTTTCCCCATGTAATTGGATAACTTGTCTTACAATATTTTTGAGATTATTTTGTTCACCTCAGTGAATCATATCACTGCCTCCTCGTGTGTGATACTCAAATTATGCTGTGGTCCGACCCGTGAAGCTAGTTTCTAAGCGGCATATCCTGGTGTTTTTCTGGAGATTCTGCATTTGACTTTCAAATTGATCTGGGTCATATTTGGATTAAGGACTGGAAATAGGTGAAAGTGAGAGTGACTGTGTTTAGTGATTCGGTTATTCAAAATATATTGGTAGCTACGGTAGAAGAGTACAAATCAAAAGAAATTTGAAAAATTTCCTGGGCAACAAGGAGTCAGTTATGAGAAGCCAAATCTGCCCTCAAGTAAGTAGGATTTTGTGATCCTAAACAAAGTAGCCATTATTGTTATTTGTGTCTGTCTGCCTATAGGCCGCTTTCGCTTTGTTGTGGATCATTTCCCTCTACCCTGTTTGCTAAGGTTTGGACTTGAAGACTGGGGAGCTAACTCAGATGGCAGCTGGTGCATAGATGGGCATGAAAGAGTACAGTGAATGAGCAAGTTGCTGTTGTGGATGATGGGAAATCATGAAATGTCTGAGAAATAATAATTCCACTCTCACTGTTTTTAGTTGTCTTCCAAACAAGATGTCAGAGCAACGAAAACTGAACACCCTCCCATGGGAACGACTAACCAAGGACAAGCACAGACAAATCTTATAACGAAGCAAGATAATGTAACAATTAAAGGTCTTCAGGCTAATGTTAGCATACCCAAGGTAAAAATGTAATATTTTTGAAAATTTTCCTGAAAGAGGAGAACATTTTGGTGGTTTTTATCCTTTGCATTTACTAAACTAAATGGTAGTGGAATAGATTGTAATATCAAAAATATATATTTTATTCCCTGATGATCTGATGTAAGAATGTAATGTAAATAAGTTTACTTAAGCAGAATATTGGGTAAGATATACTAAAATATTGCACGTTTATCCAGAAAGAATTGAATTGTGATTATTTTATGAGAGTCTATTTATAGGCTTCATCATCTTCACTGGCAGATACACAGATATGCCATTCCTGACTGTAGCTGTTTTTCATTTTTCTGTGTATATTACGTTTGACAATTTTCACTTTTCAATTCTGTCATTTATGACATTGTGTGTGTTAGGTAAACTTATGTCTGTTGCAAGCCTCAGTGGAAGAATCTCCAAGTACAGCTCCTAGCAGAAGTGTGAGTCACGTGTCCCTAGTCGCATTGTGTTTTGACAGAATTGCTACACAAGTTCGTATGAACAGGTAAGAAAGATTTTATTAATTCAAGCCACAATTATCTTCCTGGATGTAAAAGCAAGCCTCAACCATCCTCTTAATACATTTCCGAAAATTCTAAACCGGTATTGGAATTTCAAATCTCACTTCGTAGGTTTTTAAAAGTTCTGTTTTTATTCACACTATTTTTCGGTGAACACTGAAGAATTTGTTAAAAATATTGGTTTAATTAAAGCAGTGGAATTAAAAAAAAAATCTTATTAGTTAAATGTTTTCCTGAACTGTGTTATTTAAATGTTAACCGTCATACTGTTTCTCTTTTCCATGAAGAGGTGTGGTTGAAGAGTCTTCAAATACTGCCGAACCCAGCAGAACATCCCATTTTGATAGGTATGTCCACGCCACTAAAATGCAGCCTCAGTCATCGGGATCTCTCAGATCCAACGCGGGAGCAGAGAAAGGCAAAGAAATTGCAGCCAAGTTAAACATTCATCGAGTTCATGGGCAACTCAGGGGTCTAGATACAACAGGTAGGATTCTACAAATATTTTTTCTTTGACATGTATAAATACAAGAGGATTTTGCAAGAGGAAACATTTTTTCCTCTGAATGTTGCTGTCACTTGAGTATTTCATAAGAAAGGTATTTCTGCACATACTGAACACGTGGTACTAACCTGTTTATTGTTCACATTCCACACACAATGGAAGGTCAGCTTTGGTAGGAACATAAGTGGTATGGCTCCAAATTAGGAAACCATCTGTCTGCTTGCTCATTACAGAACAGAGAAAATGATCGTTGTAATCTTTCTCCCTTTATTAAACGTTATGTTGGCACAACTTGTTTAGAAAGAATTAATTGTAATACCACAAGGAGATAGTCAAGTCTGTAAAATAGAGCAGCCACAAGAGTGACAGACATGGCTAGGCCTCTTAAAGACCCTGGTGAGGTAAGGGAGAAAACGGGAGACAGCACGTATCATTTCAGTATTTTTGACTCAGCTCAGTGCATATGCTCATAAGGAGCCTTAAATGAACTTAGATTGTCAAAGATTCCATCCAGGAAAAAATTGAGGTTACTAGTCTTATTCTAATGACTGCTACACAAAAATCTCCATGTGGGACAGGTGACCAGTCCTGAATGAACAAATGATTTCCTTGAATTTGCTGCCTGCATTCTGTCGGCTCGGAAGGTCCCGTGATTCCTGTGTGTGCTCCAGGCTGGGATAACTGCTGTGGCTTTCTCAGGGCTTATTGCACTGCCCTTGTGTTTGAGGCTGAAGTATTTGACCGGAGGATTCCGCATGAAGAGATCGGTCATGACTCCGAGCTCTGTGGTCCTAACGCGGTGCACATCACAGTGGCCCGAGTTACAGAAAGACTTGCCAAGCTCAGCTCTGTAGTTTGCAGTGATAACCACTTGGGCGTTACACAGACCGCAGGCAGTGTATCATTTTGAAGGCACATTATCTAGAAAAAAATTCATCAAAGACAAAACTCCCAAAGAAATTCCAAGGTGGCCATTGCATAAAAATATAGGGGCGAAAAAAAGGAAATTAATGTCCTTGCTTGTATTTACATAGGGTATCTGTGAATGGATACTCAGTCATCCCCTGAAATTTGTTACCTGTAGGGAGGGGGAGTAGACCTCTGGTATGGTGTCAGGGGCTCTCACTGTATACCCTTTCATACTTTTTGGAACTTTGATCTATGTGAGTGTATTACTTCGTCAAAACATTTAAATAAAATTCAACTTAAATCTTCCAGTTATACCGTACATTAGAATAAGTTCATGAAATTAAAGAGAAATAAAAAAATTAAATAATGAGAAAACTACAGAAAATGTAGGTTAATATTTACTTTCTGATTAGGAAAGACTGTTCATAAATGTATAGTATTTTATTTTCATAATGCAGTATTATATAGCTATTAAAATAATACCTTGGAAGAATTTTTAGTGACCTGAGGAAATTACCATGGCTTAGCTTACTGTTGCATGAAAATTGGGAGCTAAAGCCGGGTTTATAAAATGATCTCTAAAGAGCTAGGAAGTAACTTACTTCAAATAAATGCACTTATCTTTGGGTGGTAAATTTACATGTGTTTTTTTATCTTCTTCTTGCTTTTCTGCATTTATTAGCTGTAATCAGAGAAAGACATTTTAAAAAGTAAGATAAAATGAAAACTTCTTCCAGCTATTTGGGATGTTAATTTCCATATTGCATATTGTAAGCAGTGGGATATGGCAGCATCTGTGATAAATTGTAGTTATGCAAAATATGTTAGCATGAAGCAGTTTTTTAGTAAAAGCTGTAATTTTTCTGGAATACAATAGTTTTCCCAAGGCTGGATAATTAAAATAATTTTTTATTTTGTAAAATGATGAGAAAGTATTTAAAAATAGCTCACTGTGAAGCTGAATTATTAAGGAGCGTTTTAACTTTAGATTTTTAGAGTGCCCTTTAATCTTTCAGAAATGAATTCCTCCTGCCTTTGGGCAGTTATTTGTTATTATGGAATCTTTTTTCCTTCCTCTTACTTCAACATGATTCTGGAACTTTCTAAGTAGTACTACATTGCACAGTATTATTTTAGAAGTTGGTTGGTTCATTTGTTTATTTTCCTTTTCGACAGACTGCTAAGATATCTTCTAAACACAACCACCAAGCCAAATGCTTACATTGTTTGGTGTTTCAAAAAATATATACAAACCTCTTGTTTTAAAAATGGTGGTTTTGTTCTTTTTTGATCATAGATATTGGTACCTGTGCCATCACTGCTATTCCCTTTGAGAAATCCAAAGTTTTATTTACTCTTGAAGAGTTGGACGAGTTTACTTTTGTGGATGAAACTGATCAGCAGGCTGTTCCAGATGTAACTCGAATAGGTCCCAGCCAAGAAAAATGGGGCTGGATAATGTTTGAATGTGGACTTGAAAATTTAACCATAAAAGGTAGGTGTTTTTAAATTCAGGAGAAAGTGTGGTACCTGGGACTGTTCACCAGGGGTGGGTGCCCCATCCCACTTCTCTCCGTTGTGTGATTCAGAACTAGCAGAGCGTCTAGACTTACAAAACCTCAGTGCTTCATAACAGAGCCCCCAGCTTTTGAAAGCTTGCATCTTTCTGAACTGGATCTTTGATTCACAGAGCTTTGCCGTGTAGGATGAAAATACTGTAAATCCTTTGTTCACCAAAATAGGCCGATTTACAATTATACCTGTTTTCTTTTACATTATTGAGTAATACGTTAAAATGGGAAGGCTGGACTGTGGGTAAGACTTTTAGGTTTAGTCATATATAAGAGTTGTTGTATATGCCTACAATCTAATCTCATGTCCCTTTTATAGATAGGGGCAAAGTTTGGGTGAGGAAAAAGAAAAGATCATTATGAGCTTTTTATTTGTATCTTTATGGATCTTGTGGAGTACATCATTGAGATACCCACTGTTTGTAATAAATCAATTCTTTTCTTTTTATAGGAGGAAGACAGTCTGGTGCTATTTTATACAATACTTTTGGAATGATGGGTAAAGCTAGTGTCATGGAAAGGGGTGGAGTGCTGACATCCAATAATTCTTCTGATTCTCCCACCGGCAGTGGCTATAACACTGACGTCTCTGAGGATAACCTTCCTTGTGACCGACCAAGCCCTTCTTCAGATTTAAATGGAAATTCTGTTTCAGACGAACAGGTTGGTGGATTTCTAACAATAATGCTTTGGAAAAATAACAAAAAACAGCAGATCTAATTCAAAATTTCTGGAGTATATTTGCTTGTCTTCTACGTTTTGGATTCTGCTTAAATGGTTGTCAAGGCATTTTGGTGATTATACTTCTACTGGAATATAATTTGTGTAGACACCACATCCTAGATATATTTATAATCTGTCATAGTACCTTGCATAGCACTGCGTTCATATTAGTCACTTAATATTTACTGAATTAATGAGTTAATAAAATTTCAAAAAAACAGGCTTTGTTTTTATGTCACTTGAAGGATTTTAGGAAAACTCATTTTTTTAGATAAATAGTTTTGTTACTGGCAGTATTTCATGTAAGTTCTAAGTTTTTTTAATCACTATTTGCCTATTTCAGTTAGAGCCTTGAAGAAAAACTTATATGCATCTCATTTGTTATTTTTATTATGGTGGAATTTCACAGTGATGAATACAGGAACAGCAATAATGAAAGTACTTAAAATTCTAGATTGCAGAAGAGTTGTACCACTAAATGACTGGTGACCTTGGGCAAGTCATTTACCCTCTCTCAGTTTCTTCATCTGTAACAGGAGCATTGTAATGATGTTGACCTTCTAGAGTTGTGAAGATTGAAGGAGACACCACCTATGAAAGGCTTAACTCAGTGTCTGTCCATAGTAAGAACTTGGGAACTTTAGGCTTAAACACACACATATACATATACATACACTTCTAGTCATTGGAAAATTAGACCAATTGAAGAGGAAAGTAGCCACCTTGTAATTGAGAAACATGTCATGGGTATCCAGTATTCCTTGGCATACTGTGAACCCCAGGTTTCTAGGACTTTCTTTTGAAATAGTATTTATTTTGACTTGATGGGTAGTTTGAGAGTTGAATCAGTTTTCTTGTGAGGTCTTTGGAAGTGCTCGAATGGCAGGTGGGGATTAGCGCTTTAATGAAGGAAATTAAATGTGTAGGAGCTGCTCCCTGGACGGAAGAGCTGGGAGGAAGCTGGCCGTTCTCTCCCTCCCTTTCACCCACTGAAATACCTGACGGAAACCCAGGTGTCTCCCTGATCTCTCTGACCCTGCTGTCCTTGCTGGGAGCCCCCATCTTGCAGCATAGATGTCTTTGGGCTCTCTGACTTTTCTTGGTCCATTTCCTTCGGCAGTGCTTTGTCCTTAACTGGGATGTTCTCCCCGTGTTTTCTTCTCAGCTACTCTCCTCTTCCTGCTGTTTGCCACTCCCTCACTTCGCTCCTCCTCGAGCTCCATAACTTGCCGACACTGCTCCTTCCCATCGGTTAGGCTGTTAGCACCACCCCTTCACCTGAGCTCCAGGATTGTATCCAGTGGCCTTTCCGATGATCTCATTTACATGTGCATTGGCACCAAGAATTCAGCCAATCTAAATCAAGCTTATTAGTCTTTGCTTCACATGCTGTTCTAATTAGCTGCTGCTTGTCTACAAGCCCCCTTTCTTTTTTTAAAGTTTCACCTTCCTCAAGACTGTCTTGTGTGTCTTTGTACCCTGTGCCTGGCTCCCACACGTGGGCCGGGTGTATTTGAGAATTCCGATTTCTTCCTTTTAGAAGAAAGGTTACATGGTGTGCACTGTGTGACATAAACCCCCAGGAGGAATCGGACGCAGCACTTCATCTTGAGCTCTTTAACTGTTTCTGTAGCACAACTGTAATAAAAACACCAGGTGGGATAAATACTTCTCATCAGTTCAGTCAGAGTTTGATGCTGCATTTACAGAAAGTTTTAGATTTTCTGAATGTGTGGATTTTAGGATTGCAAATAAGGGAGTGTGGACTGCTATTTAGTGCTGACTTTGCTAGGGGCTGTAGTTGACACTCTTTTGCAACACGTAGGATTCACAGCTGTTTCGTGGGTGTCCCTCATTCCTTCATCACCCATGAGAAAGTGCCCATCTTTTCTGTCCCGACCAGTGATCTCTCAAGGTGAACTGGAGGCCTGAAGGAGACGGGACAGGCAGTTGGCATTCTTGTTTCTTTCATATTATGCTTCTTACCCCCCTGCATTCTGCAGTGGTGACTATACATGTTAAAACTATTATCCCTGCTTCTCAATATAGGTTTAGATTTCTAGCATATAAGGTAACTAAGAATTTTTTGTACAGTGTTATTTATTTAAACATGGGCTGCTGCTTATGGCACTGTAGTGGGCAGTTTGAAATATTCTGTTAAAATGGAAAGGGAAACAGACGGCGATAGGAAACAGAAGACCCCATGCCTCACGCGTTCCTCCACTGCGCAGTTGTGTGACCACTGGCAAGTTACAAAACCTCTCCCTCTCACTTTCTTCATCTGGAAAAATGACACTTAACATCCCTAAACAAAGCTTTTGGTATTCTATTTTATAGGATGAAGGAGTCGAATCTGATGACTTGAAGAAAGACCTCCCCCTCATGCCCCCGCCCCCCGATTCCTGCAGCATGAAGCTGACCATCCAGGAGATCTGGTTTAGCTTCGCGGCGCCCACCAACGTGCGGTCTCCTACACACGCCTTTTCTAGGTAAGAGGCTGTAGGAGTGCGGTGCTGTCTCCTGGTGTTTCCTTATTTTAAATAGCATCCAGTTCTCTTTCATATGGTTTTTTGAATTATTTTTCTGATATCTCCAGTATTAGGGTTGCCACCTTTCCCCATCTTTGCTACTTCATACTTTCCGTAGCCATTATTCTCAGCTTGTTTGACCTTTTTTCTTTTCTAGGGCCTTGGTTTTACTTTACATATTACCCTTCCATAAACTTTTTATTCTTTTCATCTCTAATAGGCTAGTATATATTATTTTTTCTTTTCTATTACCTGTTGTTTGCATATCCTAGTTATAGCTTCATAATTTGTCTGGTGGTCAAAAGGAAAAGTAATTTTGCCTAAATAAAATAGCCACTAAGTATAGTAGATATGGAAGATTGTTTCAAATACAAATCTTACACTTGTCTTTATAATTAAAAACAAATTTTTAAAGGCAGCTGAACCTCCTAAGCACTGCGACTCCAGCTGTGGGTGCATGGCTCGTCCCCATTGATCAACTCAAGTCATCCCTGAACAAACTGGAGACTGAGGGAACGCTGAGAATCTGTGCCGTTATGGGATGCATAATGACCGAGGCGTTAGAGGTAAGTCTTCCAACAGTACAAGGGATTAGGCAGTTTATTATTGAAAACAGTCCTTAGGACTCACCATTGTTATGAAACAGAATTGCAAGTCCTTAATTACTGTATATCTTTTATTGGTACTATTTTTAATACATCATTCTAAACCTGTGATTTTTGCTTTGTTTCAGAATAAAAGTGTACATTTCCCCATAAGAAGTAAGTACAACAGACTCACAAAACTTGCCCGCTTTCTCCAAGAAAACCCTTCATGTTTACTGTGCAATATACTACACCACTACCTGCACCAGGCGAATTACTCCATCATTGATGATGCTACGATGGTGAGTTCCTGAAGCCATTTGTCAGCTCTAAACAAGCCTCTGTTCCATCGAGGAGCCACTGACCCATGGGGTGTGCGACGCATGCGGGAACTCCAGAGGACAACTGCGGGTAGAAGTTCAGGCCTATAGTCAAGGGCGGGCTCAGATTACTGACGTGGGAGTGGACAGCGCAAAGGTGCTAGAAGCTGTGGATATGTATGAGACAGCTCGGCATGGCGTGTGGGTGAGAAACTGGGCCAGGATGGATCCCTGAAGAATACCAGCATGAAAGGGGGTAGGAAGGGTGGATAGAGGTACCCAGAGAGCTGAGGAGGGGAGAGGAGAGCAGGAAAGCCAGGGAAGAAGGCCTTGGAAGCCAACGGGATAATGGGGTTCAAGTAAGAGTCATCACCAGAGTCAGATTTCACAGAAATGTCTACTAGTGACTGAGGGGAAGAATATATAATGGTACAAAATACATACAATACACCTCTGCCCCTAGCAAAACACTCCGGAAGACAACACATCATGATGAGGGGGTTAGAGCCTGAGGCACTCCCTTCTGTTTTCCAAGCTCCTGGTCCATAGAGAACACAATTTTAGGGATCCCAAATTAGAGATCTATGTATCTATACCACCTATGGCCAGTCAAGTTCCTGATAACCTGCAATCAAAGACTCTAGGAAATGATGTATTTGGAAAAGGTACTTGACCTGAGGCTGGTGTAGTGTAGGCTGGTGTAGACTCCCACCCTGAGAATTTAGGACTGAGAGGTCCACAGTGCAAGGCTCACCTGCCCATCTAGCCACAGGCAGAGAAAGTATAATAGAACAGAGAGAATGACGGGCGCTTCCCGTGGGCGGGCGTTCTGCCCAGATATGCTCTCCAGTCAGACGAAGAACCACAGGATGACCCTCGTTACTTGAGTCTCAGAATGAAAGGTCAGGCTAAGGGACCTGATGTTCCTCAGAGAGTAAGTGGGTGATTCCTGCTGTCTAGTAAATAACTCTTCAACCAAAGCCATTTCTCCTAACAAGGAATTGTGGGAAAGGGATGGAGAGGAGTCGGATATTTTCTCGTCAGGCTAAGGCTCCGACAGAAAACACAGCCACATTTTCTTACAGCCATCACCATGTGGAACAAAATACATTCTAAATTATGTAATTGTTACTGATAATACATTTAACTTTCAAAGCACTTACAAATCCATCTACGTCCAGCATTTAACTATGGTAATGTATTTTTTAAATGTTAAAAATAGTGGTGGTTCCCTAATCTTTGAAGGGAGTAATTTCATTTCACTGTTTGCTTAATGAATATTCAGGTTCTTCAAAATACATTTGAATCTTCAGTTGGGCAGAAAGGTAAAGTGGATTGAATACTTCTTAGAAGAATCCCAGCTTTGCACCCCACACTTAGTCTCTTATTCACCTGGAGCTGCTGTGTTGTTTGTGACAGAAAGATGCAACCTTGTGTTTAGAGATTGAGTTCTGCAGTCAGTTTGAGATACTGACTCTCTTGTGTAACCTTGGACCAATTACTTAACATGTAAATTCTAGTTTCCTCGTTTCTGAATGGAGTTATGAGATTTAAATGAAAAATGTATGCCAAACAACTTAGGTTACACGGTTACAGTAAGCTTACTCTAACAACATCACTGTTGTTGCAGAGTGATGGACTTCCTGCTTTGGTAACCTTAAAGAAAGGTTTGGTTGCACTGGCAAGGCAGTGGATGAAGTTTATTGTGGTGACCCCAGCCTTTAAAGGGGTTAGTTTACACCGACCAGCTCAGCCCCTGAAGCCCCAGGCAGTTGTGAACCACGAACATGAGGACACACTTGGGCTAGACAATGGAGGTGGTCTTCAAAGTGACACCAGCGCTGATGGGGCAGAATTCGAATTTGATGCAGGTAATTTTGTAAATATTTTAGCTAGCTATTATAAACTTGGTAACCTAGTACATGTGATAATTTTAATAATTTGGGTCCCAAATTTGAAAATTGACTTTGTCTTGGCTTAATTATGTAAGTATGATTTGTATTAGTTCAAATAAATGGTGATAATGTTGGAGTCTTTATATTGACTTGATTTTTAAGTTTAATTTTATGACATACAGTAGACTTCTCCTAATCTGTCTAGTACAAACAACAGACACCTTTGTAGAAATAGAATGTTTGGAATGAAACACATTAACCTCCTTTTAAACTTTACATTTGTCTACTTATCACCGTCCCCTATGCCACAGTTTTAAAGGAATCTTTGAATTTTACCTGGTGCCTGTTTGACCCTAAATTGATGCAATGTTTGGAGGCCTGCACTCAGCCTCCAGTTCTGTCAGCATCATGGCTGTGTCACATCACAGGCTGTAGATACGCATTTCAGAAATGTACATCCACACTTAATGCTGTTACAAGGGTTAATTAAAAAAAAATTTTTTTAGCTGAGCCATCCTGCCACCTGTTGGCAGCTCAGCGGCAGCTCAGCTCGGGCCAGGACTCGAACCACTGTTGCTCAGAGCTCTCACTCTTGAGCGAGCTCTTAACCAACTGAGCCACTCGGCTGGCCCATAAGGGCTTAATTTTTATTATCATGAAATGTAATATTCACTGCACTTCATCTTACAATAGGTTGAAAAAATATTGAAAGTACTATGAGAAAGGAGAGTAGTGTTAAAATTAGAGCTTTCAGAACATTAGTATATAATATTTTATTCAGTTTTTTTGGTTTTCCAAGAACTTTTTACTTACATTTAATAAATGAATGTGTTATGAGGAATAGGCTGAATTTTGTTTCCTATCTATTTTGAAAAATTTCAAATCTACACAAAAGTTGAAAGAATAATGTAGTAAATATCTCTTCTAATTGATTATCTGCAAGTGCCTGTTAATCTGTGAAAATTCCGTCTTTCTTGAGCTCAGCTGAATTAGGTTTTGATTTCCATACCATTTGAGTGGCATATGTGAGATTCAGTAAAAGCTGTTTGTTCCTTTCTTGAGACAATGAGAAAATTAGGGTTTGAAGAGTAAAGGAAAGAATGACAATTAAAACAGATTCCACAATGAATTTGTTGGGGAATATAGAAGGTTGAGGGTAGTTACACCATCAGGAACACTGGAGTTGACGTTTCAAGAAAATGTCTGCTAATCTACAGCCCACTTGTTCTTTTGAACTGTTTCAGCCACCGTCAGTGAACACACAATGCTACTGGAAGGAACAGCCAACCGGCCTCCTCCTGGGGGGTCTGGACCTGTGACTGGAGCTGAGATAATGAGGAAACTTTCTAAGACTCACACCCACAGTGACTCTGCATTAAAAATAAAGGTACATTATTGCTATTTTGGTTAGTGTTATCTAGACTTGCAGTGAATACCTAAATGTTTGCTATCTCAAGTTTAAGTATTAGGTATTCACCCTAAATATTTAAATTTAGTAAAAGTAATATTTTTACGTTGAAATTAACATGATTAGTAACTTCAGTGTACACATTTCTTTCAAAGTTACATCATGAATCAGTAGTTAATATGAATAAGGACTCCTTTAATTACCAACACTTGGGCTCTCTTTTCAATTTATTGAATATTGCATTCAATAAAATACAATATTGAGATTGTTGTACATGATCAGTGTACAGTTTGAATTAGGCTAGTTTATGGTTCTAATTGCATTGTTTGGTGTTAAGAGATTTAACCCGTGCTTGATAAGATGCACATAGAGCAAAGTGCTGACGCCCTCTGAAGAGTCAGTCCCGCCTCTGCCACTAAGTTGCTTTGCGAACAAGCTTTTATCTGCAGTGTGTGTGAGTTTCCTCACCCGAGACAGGGATACACTAGGAGCCTCCTTGGGTTACTTTTCTCTTGGTAGTTTGCTTTTCTGAGCACTGAAAGCAGCAGGTACTATTTTAACTTTCTTTGAAAGTCTGGGTCTTGACCTCCATTAATACCCAGCATCCATAATGTAGATGATAATTTTGACTGCATTAAAATATTAAATTTCTACACAGAAAAAATAGTTTATTGTAAACAAAACAGACATATGACAAAGGGCTAATTTCCTGACATATAAAGACCTCTTCCTGATCACTAAGAAAAAAGGTGCAGCCAAAGAAAAAAGTAAAGTCAGTTCACAGAGATATACATATAGAAATATGAAAATATAGTTTATTATAATTAAATGTAAATTAAAATGAGATTTCCATTTTCACCTATCTGAAAAAAGCTGAAATGTTTGATAGTGTATGTTGTTGGTGAAAATGTGAAGAAACGGACATTCTCATACAGTACTGTGGGCATGTAAATTGGCACCTCTTTGAAGAACAATTTGGCAGTTTGTACCGCAATTAAAATGTATGTCCATGTCCAGGAACTCATTCTAAAGAATGAATGCTCAAGAATGCTCCAAGACACATGTCCAGTAGTGTTGTTTACAGCACAATTTGTAATAGGAAAATAATGGAAACCCCATAGATGACTAACCACTTGAGAACTAGTAAGCAAGTGTATCCTGATACACGTGCGTCCGATGAAGACTGCAACGATTGAGCAAATCTCTAAGTGGTTATGGCGTGATCACCAAAGTGCATCGGTTAAAGCAGAACCAAAGTATAGGACAGTGTGTATTTGTGTGTTAAGAAAAGGATAGTATGTGTGTGTGCTTCTATGGTCATAACCGTTTATGGAAGATGAGGTAAGAACCAGTAAGAAGATCCCTGCGGGAAGAGTCTAGACTGCAGCTCAGGGGATACTTACTTTTCATTGCATAGTCATTTGTGCTTTTGAAGTTTTGATTCTGTATAAGTATAGCCCTTTTTAAAAAAAGATTTTTATTGGGGAATTGGGGGGATGGGAACAGCGCTGGGGAATTGGGGAAGGGGAACAGACAAGTTGCTGTCGTTTTGTTCTTCAGTCTAGTTGTGGAGGACGTTGCTTCACTGGCCCAAGTTGGCACCATCATTGCGCTCTTCCCTGGCGGGTGAGGCAGATCAGTCGCCGGCTTCTGGACGGCCGCTCACTGCGGCTGCTGGCCGCTCACGCTGGCTGCTGGCTACACACGGTAGCCCATGGCAACCCACTGCCACAGGGGCTGCAGCCTACGCCGTCGCCGGCGACTCACGGCAGCCCAGCTCCAGGTTTGAGCTGTTGTTCAGCATCTTAGCTGTAGAGGGCAGTGTCACTGGCCCTCATATGTGGGATCCGAACCAGGGCCCTCTGGCATCCCAAGCCAGTTCTTAACCATCGCACCACTCGGCCGGCCCAAGTATAGCCCTTTTAATTGAAACATTCGGTGATAGTTTGATAATAAATTTTTAAATGTTTGGACTATTAAGCTTCTTCTATTTCTCTGGTATAGAAGGCCTGGACACTTTAAATTTGAACTCCTTAATCTGTCTCAGATTTTTTTCCTGGGTGATGGTTTTTCCAAACCTTCTAGTCATACTGGGGGTTTTGCAGATAGTGTATTTCTCTTTCATACATTTTTTCAAACATTCTTTTGTTTATGGATTATAAAAGTCCTCCAAAGAATTGAAAATACAAATGCTTTGTTTCAGCTCTCTACTTCTCAGGGTCTTCCTGTCTGTATAGTCATTTTTTTGTACTGTTTTAAACTGATCTGAAGTTTTTCTCTTAGACGTGACAGAACAGGTAGAGATTGGACAATTCTGTAGCTTTGGACCTTTTTGTTTTTCCTCAGAATTGCTGGAAATTCATTTTGGCATGTTAGACCTTTACAGAGAACCCATTGATAATACAGAGGTTTATGATCAAGGTACCAAGAAGGGTCGTAGGAAGGATTTCAGGATAGAAGTCTTGCCACCAGATTCCCCCTTCAGGTTTCACAGGGAGCTAATAATCTAGAGTTAAAATAAGGAAATGATAATCCAGGCTGTCCTTCAGGCTGTACTTGGAGTTATAGAACCTGTGAGGTTCACCACAGTCCTGGGAGACACGATCTGTTTGGTGTCGGTGTGAGCGGTAACTAGCGGGAGTACAAGACTGACAGCAGTCGTGGTGTCGGCAGCCATGTTTACACGTAAGGAAGAGCCATGTTTCCTCCGCAGGGCATCCACCCCTACCATTCTCTGAGCTACACCAGTGGGGACACCGCCACAGACTCCCCGGTACACGCGGGCCGTGCTGGGATGCCAGTGAAGGAGAGCCCAAGGAAGGAGAGCCTGCTCAGCTACCTGACCGGAAGCTTCCCGAGCTTGCACAACCTCCTGGAAGGGACCCCTCAGAGAAGCAGCGCAGCCGTGAAAAGCAGCTCCCTGACACGAGCAGGTACAGCCTCAGTTTTGACAATCACAAGGTCACGTCTGTGGGACAAGGACAAAAACAAAACCGACTTAACGTTTATTCAGATGCGTACTTTGGGTGCATAGCTAACCTTCCCTTGTCTCTGAGACGGTAGTTTGGAAAACTTCTGTTTGTCACTTGTTGGTGTCTTCATGCCCTCAGTCTGTGTTTTTAAATTGCAGCATTTGACATTACTGTGAAATGAGGTGTGGTTGGGCTGCTGTCTAGACCAGCCAACAACGAATTCCCCCGGTATAATAATAAGTTATTTATTAATGCCTTAATATCCAAACACCAGCATCATGCTGTAAATTTGAAAACATCTGCAAAGATAGATACTTTAACGTGACTTGAAAAACATTGCATACATCACATTCTCTGCTCCTTAGAACATGAGTAATGCTAAAGAATATTTTACTTTCAGGAAACACGATGACTTCTGATATGCTGTCGGAGCACCCCTTGCTGTCAGAGCCGTCATCTGTGAGCTTCTACAATTGGATGTCCAATGCTGTGGGTAATCGAGGAAGTGTGGTCCAGGAGTCTCCTGTGACCAAGTCAGGGCACAACAGCCTTCCCACAGGTATTCACGTGGCACGTTGTTTTTCTTAACTGTCCACAGGGAACCTGGGAAGTTGTAGCAAAACCTGTTTTTGAGAGAATGGTTAAAAAAAATCTCAAACGTTTAAGTGCTATTTAGTTGAAATTGGCCCATGTATGAAATGCCTTGATAATACGACAGTTGAGGAAGGCAGAAGCCGTGGCTCGGCGCTCTTGTGGAAAGGCAAACGTCAAATGTGAGACTATAATTTAAAGAGTTCAAACTTCCACTTAATGTGGCTGGTTTAATTTTCAAGACACCGGAAAGAGATAAATAAAAAAATGCTAAGTGTAATTACATCAAGTACCTACAGAAAAATTTTCAGTGTATCCAGATTCCTCTGAGACATAATAACTAGTGTTTCACACTCTTCATGACGACTTAAGTATTTCATGAAATCTAAGGAATACCAAGAGGAATAAAGGAAGCGTCTTACCCTCTAGGAGGAAAACGAACGAGAGCTTTTATTAATGTTAAAAGAATATGTGTAAGTAGCAGAGGCCTGGCAGGGGGTTCACAAAGAAGCATGGGACTGTCTCCTAAAACCTAGGTGGAGTCACCCTGCCTTTTCTGTTATTTTGTATTTTTCCAAATTTACATGTATGTATTTTTTGTAGAAAACTTTTTTAAAAAAAAAGAATATGTGGAGGAGCCTTCGATTCTAGTTACTGAAGTAAGCTAAAATTAATCTGTGTGATAGCTATTTGGATCGCTAGGAAATTTTGTTCAGACAGAAAATACGAAATTGTGTAAAGTGGTTGACATGTGACTAGTTGCGCAGTCCTTTTTCTTGCTGGTGTGTGGACCGCTTTTGTATCTGCACTGGAGTCGAACTCTAACTGCGTGTGAGTCCTTAGCACTGGCCTTTGATTGAAGGAGATGGAAGGAGGTTACTTCCCCAGCTGTCAGCACTTTTCTGGTACCAGAGTCACTATTGCACAGTTTAAATTTTAAGGGAACGAGGAGGGGACATTTTCTGTCTATCACGGGTCCTTTGCCTGGCGAGTTAAAGGATGAAGGGAGGAAGAGAGGAGAAGTAGCGCCATTTCATATTTATTCCTCCTCTGGAAAGCCGAGTTGGGAAGAGGTTTGGATGTGTCATCCTGGGACACCTATGGCGTCACCTCCGACAGCCGCTTTTTGTAGCGCTGCTGCTGTCGTCTGTAACTGTCCCTCAGGGAAACCTTGTGGGGTAGCCAATGTTTGTCCAGCCATGAAATCCTATATAGTGGATTGACTGGCTGGAATACAGACATCATGTGTGACAATGACTGATATTTTCTGAAAATTAGTTTAATTTCACTTTTCATTAATAAATTATGTCTGTAAAGTAACCTAACAGTGCTAATTTTTTTCTTTACATTGAAATGGTCTGATAATACTGCTACGTACAGGTTTCATAAGTTTACTTTGCTATGCCCTTTTATTTTTTATTTCCCAGTAATTTCGATCTCATTCTTGAACATTTACCCTGGTAGGTGTTGCACCCAATCTTCCTACAATACCCTCAGCGTCAGATTTCAACACCGTCTTGTCTAGTGACCAGAACACTTTGGATGGGACCCACTCGCAGCACAGCACGAGTCAGGATGACGTGGCCGGTGTAGAAGAAGCCAACCAGGGCTTTCCCGCGGTTCAGCTGGCTGACGCGCAGGTGAGGCGCTCTGTCCCTGATTGTGGTGACCCTCCCCTGGTAGTGCTCAGCAGCTGGGCATCTTGGAAGGTGAACCCTGGAGTTCCGGTGAAAACCTTTTTCTGTGCCATCTGCCTGAAGCCTTCATGCAAAATGGAGGAGCCTTCCAAAAAGGACATGGGTTCATTATACATGCAAATTAAGCATCTGTAGATATTCACTAAACACATAGTTATTTGCCTCATATAGTTTGGGTTAGCTCTCAGTGAGTACAAAATTCAGTTAACTAGAGATTTTACCAGAGTAGTTTCCATAAGCAGGTGTGATACTCACAGTATAAAGGAAGTTCTTTGTCAGAAAATAAATGTGAAATGACTGTTATGACCATGTGATACCATTTAAAAATAGGTCAAGTTTTCGTAATACATGAAATGTTTTTATATTAACACAGGACATTGATAAACTATTTTGTGAATCAATGTACTGGCTTTTTATGGAAATGCAGGTATTCATGCCTTTTTTAAAAGCAAGAAGCAAAAGGATTTAAACTAATTCGTAATTTTACTTTTCTTGTATTTTCAGACACTCAGGCAGGATCAAGGAATCTTTGTCCTTATGATTAATTTGAAGATGAGGGGTACATAATAGGTGCTCAAAAATACCATTAAGTTTTAAGTAAAATTAGAGCTGTATTATGCAAGACCTTTTATTTTTGTTTGTTTCACACTACAGTAATATGGACTGAGGTGGGATAAGGAAAAAAGCCACGGTAGATGATGAATTCTACATGGAGTGAATGCGAATGTGTTGTGTCTTTTAGGTCGTTTTCAAGCCTCTCCTGAGTCACACAGGGATCCAGTCACAGGACGCGATGCCGCTGTGCTACCGAATGTACTTCGGGGAACACCTTTCATTTTCGGGGACTTTGGACTGCCTCCGAGCAGACATCGTGGACTCAGACACAGCCAAGGAGAGAAAAGGCAAAAGAGCAAGAAGGTGTCTTGCATTGTTGTTTTTATATTAAATTTTGTACTAAGGTTATAACCCGTTTGCTTTTGAACTTTGCTTTCTTATAATGCTAATGAGAAAGCGATTTTAATATCTTAGTGAGACGCTCATTTCCAGTTAACAGAAATAACAGCCACATCGTCAGGTTATGGGGCCTGTTCCTACGCTGTTTTTGTACCAGGTTAGCACATACCTGAGGGCCGGCCGAAGTACACATAGTACATGTGTAACATATACACCTAGGATGTATTTACTGTGGCAGTCGTGGACTTTTCATGATCTTATGCAATTGTATGCATCATACTTACAATTTACTCACCTCCTCTCTGAGCTGACTGGGGCCGGTAGGAGCTGGGTGAAAGTCACTGAGAGGACAGCATCAGATATAGACACAGGTGCTAAATGTGGCGCGTGCGCATTAAGAAGCGTCTCACTGGCATTCTTTATCGTCATGGGTGGTTCTTCAGTGTCTTTACTGCCTGCATAGGAAATAATGTGCCTACTAATAAGACCTGACTCATCTTTTGTAAACTTGGAGTGTTACTTTGGGGGAGTCTGGCTCAAGCGTACAGGAATAATAGAACATGGACACAGGTGGCATTTATGACAAGAGGTTTTTGAAACATTCTTGGTTTCATCCAGTTTGTGCTTTTGCAGGGTGGTAAATTAAAAGTAAAATGGATGTGTATCCAACATACAGCCAAGTAAAATATATTTTTCATTTGAAATATTCTATTTAAAATATTAAATAATTTAACAAATCACTTTAAAAAATTTCATGGCAATTATGTAATGAAAAATACAACTTTCTTAAATTTTGTTTCAGGTCTAAATCTCTGAGGATTTTCTAATGACACAGGACCATGGAAATTGCCTTGTCTTTTCTATTAATATAAGTCAGCCCTTGCTTTGCACAATTGTGTGGCACTGTAACGATGACATGCAGGCTGAAGCACTGCAAAGTGGCCCCAATGATCATTAAACTAGTGGGGAAAATTATTACTTTTGTTTTGTGACTGTGCAAAATGTTTGTCAAAAAATTTAAAGTTCTCTTATCGTTTATTATAAATATATTGAGAAACAAAAAAATATAGTAAAACTAGTATTTAGTACATGGTAATTTCAAATGTTAGAAACACTAGGAAACACAATGTTTTTATTTCTTTCTAAAAAACTCATCAAAGGGTAGTTTGAATAGTCCTCGCCTTCTTATCATGTAACTTACACTATAGAATGAGCACGTTTTATGTGCCTCGGAAAAATGTCACATTCTGTTCTAAGTATTGATCAGCTTCCAAAATTTTATCCTCTGTGTTTTCCATGTCATGAAGTATCTTCGCAAGTTCCTTTTACTATGAAATGTTTTGCCACCATCACTTCCTCTTGGATATCTTCATTCTATTTGTCATAACCAGTTTCCTCTTTATGCCAACAGTCTGCCTTCACTGAGTTCCTCTGGCTGCTTATCTAATTTCTAGAATAGTGGAAGAGTCAACATTCCCATATTAGCTGTTTCTTCTGTAACTTCATTTACATTTACTTGAATTTCACTACCAGCATATCTTTGTTTTGTTACTGCACTTTCATCTTTGCTGTCCAATTCTCTCTTTTGATTATCCATTTTTGTAAATGTCTCATGAGTTTATCACAAGGAGGCAACACAGCTACATGCTTCACTGGTTGGGTATAAAAAGAATAACAAATGTGCATTGACCAATCAGAAAATTTGACAAGTGATGTGATTGGTCACTGATCATGATGCACACCTGCTATTACACAGTGGAGTATAGACTAGAAGAGCTAGCAACAGGTTTGTGCTTTACGCAGTTTTTCATAGTAAATTTTTGTTAAAAATTTGAAGCATGTTGTCGGGGACTGGTATTATAACTAAAACATACATAACTGAAATCCATTCCCACTGGAATCATCAAACCCAGACACCAAAACATTAATACCTGCTGATAGTCCCTGGTTAGAGGTAAAACCTCTGAGTTAGACTTGTATTTCTATTCGCAGTAGCTGACTTTCATATAAATTTATATGTATATATGATGTGTGTATATGTATACGCACATATACTTTATGTACTGTCATATATAATTAGGTTATACATAATTATATTTTACATATGTTTTTGTGTGCATATATGATTATATGTATCTGTATACTCATATATATGATTATATGTGTGTATACTCAGATATTATGATTATAGTTAAAGCATACTTATTAGCCTACTAAATGACATATAATATTGCTGCAGACTAGCCTTCACCTGGCCACGCTTTCCTGAGTGACATTGAACTTGCTGCCTTGGGTTTAGCCAAGCTTACTAGTCCTTTACATTTTTCTACAGTCGCATCTGCTCTGAGTGCTCTGCCTTCTTATCACTAGCCCACCATTCGCTTTTATTTCTTAGGTTTCCTGGAGTTCTGCCTTCAACTCTTATTTATTTGGAGACTTTTGTCACAGTATACTTTTCCTGGTCATTAATTTCAGTCTTGTCTGGGCTTTTCTTTGTAGCACATTGTTCATTCTGCTAAGTATCAGGCATTACTACTGGGTTATACTTTCTTGTATAAGCTTATGTAACTCTCTCAGACGTTAAAGCCAGCAGAGTTATTAAATCGCTTAGCTCTGGCACATGCTAAGTCCTCATAAATACTAGTTTCTGTATGTCTTTGCTATCTCAAACCAAGATAGTTGAACATATTAGTGATTTAATATTTTTAGATTTTAATTTTGACTTTGATTCTATCAGGCTGCTTTTGCCTTAAAATGACTGCTTCATTATATACCCAGATTTTTCTCCCCTTTTACTTGAATCTCCCCTCTTTAAGATTTTCTGGCCTCCCTTTCATGTTTTCAATTGTTGTGTTTGTAGTTGTAGATTATTTTAATTTCTTTTGCGCCTTCTCTTTCTTTTATCTGTTCTAATTCTCAAAATCCAGTCTTCTCTGACCACAAGTTTAGCCTTGATTGTAGGCTTCCTATAAACTTGTGCATTTTCATGAATTATACTACAAAGTGGATTTTTCTTATAAAATAAGAAATGCTAGTATTCATTAAGGAATTATTGTTTAGTTATAAGTTTTTTAAGTTCAGTTGAGATCATTGGAGTAGCTTCTGTTTTTACCAATAGAAAAAATTCCATGTTAAATGTGACCTATTTGGCTACACATTCATATTGTACATGGAAGAAAAGGTAAACAAATATCCTTTACAATTTTGGTGCTTGAGATTTACTGTTACTGGTAGTTGGTTTTTGGAAATCTGGAATTTGGGGCTCTTTAATATTAAAATTGACTGTAATATTCCTACATGAAAATTTTTAGATAAGCAGGAGAATTTCCAAAAATAATTTTTATAAAGGCTCTATGCTTTTGTGTGTGCATGTCTCATTTTTGTTTCAGTTGCTTTCCTCACCACTTTCAACTTTGCAAAGTATGCTGGCAGGGTTTCATTTCAAATAGAAATCAAATTACATAAAATGTGATGAAATTGTATATATAAACCATATATTTAACAAATGGGGAGAGGATAGTTAAGGGAAGTATCCTAATTAGCCTATAATTGACTAAATTCTCATACCATCGATGGCACAAAAAATTGTTTTATCACTTCTCTGAAATTTAACATAAGTCTTGTTTTTGACTGTTCAGTGATAGAGTAGATCAAGAAGGGGAACTCAAGGCCCAATTTCCAGCTCATACAAGGCTGGTCTAGTGAAAAAGCGTATTCTACTTGGTCTCTTGCTTAAAATTATTTAAATGTCTTATGTATATTACCTTGGAGATTATTGTGCTGATAAATTAATAAAGATCATACTGTTCTAGAAAACAGGAAGTATAACCTTGTCATTTTCCCCTTGTTTTGCACATTTTTAGGCAAGGCCATGTGAACCTTCCTCCACTTGAGTTCAAACCAGCGCTGATGCTGGAGACCTTCAGCATCAGTGCTGTGGTGATGGAAAAGTCGGTGTGCACCCCTCAGAACTCCACCAGCGCCCTTTCTTTTCATGATCTCAACAAGCGTTACTACAACACTTTCCACTGCAACTTCACTATTTCCTGCCAGTCAATAAGCCAGCATGTAGACATGGCTTTGGTCCGTCTCATTCATCAGTTCAGCACAATGATAGATGACATCAAAGCGACCCAGACCGACATTAAGCTGAGCAGATACACAGCCGGGTCAGCGTCCCCGACACCCACCTTCAAAACCAGAAAGCATCGGGATTTCCGCTCATCCGACTTCAGCCGCAGCTCGAGAGGAAGCCTCAATGGAGCCAACAGAGTAAATAATGCCAAGAACAAACGGACCAACAATGAGAATAACAAAAAGGAATCTCGAAACAAGAACTCAGTCGGAAGATCCGAAAGAAGAACTTCAAAGGTGTCCAGGAAAGGCTCCAAAGACGTGGTGGACCACATGCCTCTCCACATGGACGACTCGGACTCCATCACCGTGTCCGAGCAGAGCGAGCCCTCCGCCGAGTGCTGGCAGAACATGTACAAGCTGCTCAACTTCTATTCCCTCATCTCGGACCCAACAGGAATATTGGAAAAGTCTTCAGAAACATTTGGACCCGCAGGTAATGGATATTTTTGTTTTTTAAATTTCTGTTTCGAACTGCAGTAATGCTAAAAAAGACAGCCGGTTGTTCATCATGTTTCTTTCATGTTCTAAGTGGATAATTGAAATGTAAAGAAGCTGGCAGTCACCCCAGGAAAGTGATAGTAGTGGCGGTCAACGTTCTGCCCCCCAGTTCCCACCCCTCACCCTGCCCTTACCCACTGTGCTCTGACGGAACGCAGAGACCTGCTTTCGGATGTCTGACTACTGTGTGCTTTCAACCTGACCAAGGGAAAAGGCAGAGCCATTTAGAAGACCGCTGTGGTGGGCAGAGGAGGAGGGCCGGGCTGGGATGTAAAGGCAGAGGGGTAGGACGATGTTTGGAGCCCTTGCATTCTACCAGTTTCACGTCTAACCTGGCATTTCCACTTGTCCCTGAAGGGGTTCGCAGCCCCACGGAGCCGACGTGCAAAGTGGTGTTTGAGAACGAGCAGGACAATGGCAGTGTGACCAAGACGCAGAGGAAGCGCAGCTTGGTGACTGCCGAGCCCCAGCACGTCACCCTAATCGTGTTCGGCATCGGCATGGTGAACCGGACACACCTGGAGGCCGACATCGGCGGGCTGACCATGGAGTCGGAGCTGAAGAGGATCCACGGCAGCTTCACGCTGAAGGAGAAGATGAAAGGTACGGCCGCGTTCTACACGGAGGGTTGTCGGAAAGTCATGACGTATTTTGTCCATATTTTTCAAAGGTGATTTATTTATATAAAGGACAAAGATCAATTAATGATAGAGTGCCCGTTTTGTTCCATAACCTTTTGCCATCTTTCCGTGAGCTTCATAATTTCTCGATCATAGAAGGACCTGTCTTTATTTGTGAAAAACTGAACAAGGTGCTGATGTACAGCCTCACCTGAATTCAACATTATACCACACAAGGAGTTTTGAGGAGAGCGAAACAAGTGGAAGTCTGATGGTGCAAGGTCAGGCGAGGATGGTGGGTGTGGCAACACAGCCCATCCAAGCGCCAGTAATTTTTGACCGGTGATCAAACTTGTGTGTGGTCTTGCATTGTCGCGATGGAACACAACTCCTTTACAATTAACAAGCTCTGGACGTTTCTGGATGATGGATTCGTTCAAACTGTCGAATTGCTGACAGTACACATTCGAATTGATTGTTTGGTTCCTTGGCAGCAGCTTGAAAAACACGACACCTTTAAAATCCCACCACACTGAGAGCATAACCTTCCTCTGATGAATGTCTGCTTTCGATGTTGTTTGAGGCGAATCATCACAGCGGGACCAAGACTGTTCACACACCACAGTTGTAAACAGTCCACTTCTCATCACCAGTTATCAGTCGCTTCAAAAAAGGATCGTTTTCCTCACGTTTAATGAGCATATTACAGATGTTTATACGTGGCATCAAATGAACTTCTTTGAGTTCATGCAGAACCCAAATATTGAGCTTGCTTATGTATTCCCGCTTCTTCAGGTGGTCGTGAACACTTGAATGATGGATGTTCAATGTTTCTGCAATCTCTTGTGTCATGTAACGTGGGTTTGACTCAATCAGTGCCTTTGTTTTGTTGTCATCAACCTCGGTGGGCCTCCCTGACCGAGGAGTGTCGTTGAGATCAAAATCACCAGCACAGAATTTTGTGAACCATCGTTGGCACTGACGTCCTTGTAGAGCATTGTCACCGTCAACTTTATGCAACTTTTCACAAGCTTGATGTGCATTCTTCCTTTTATGGAAGTAAAACAGTAAAATGTGGCAAAAATGCACACTTTGATCTTCCATCTTGAAACTTGTAAAATCTCCAAAACACACCCAAATCGCTCATTTTTTTCTTTTTTAAATGAAGCTAGAACTGTCAGCTGTCAAATGACACAGCAATAACATAGATGCGAATGACTCTAGTACTTCCAAAACTGAACTAGTGTCACCTGTTGCAAACATGCGTCATGACTTTTCCGACAACCCAACAGTACCGCAGGGCTGCTTTTCTGACGCGGCCGGCTTTGCGTCCCTGAAATGCCTGCTGGGCAGTTTTTCTTCAGAAACTGAACTTCCCGTTAACACGGATCAGGAGTGCTGGTTTTTGTAGTTGCTTTTTCCTATCCTTTTTTTTTTTTAACTTGCGAAGTTTCCTGCACTATTACTTCTGAGATTTAAAATGTCATTAGGCTTTTTAATGCCTTTAGGCTCTGTAATGCATGAATGGAAGGTTAAGCTGTATAGTTAGCATTATTCCAATTTTGACATATGTATGTATGTATAAATACATAGAAATAAAAACTCCAAGGAAATTTTTAAAAAGTAGCTCCAAAATATACTTTAAATTTTATCTTAACTTTAAAATTACCTTGTATCACTGAACGTATTATGAATAAAATTCAGTTTTAATATGAAGTACAATTATCTTATTTCCAGAATTCATATAATTATTTTTTTCTTACATTTAAGATGTTTTACATCAAAAGATGACTGAGACGTGTGCCACTGCTCACATTGGTGGGGTTAATATTGTGCTACTTGAAGGGATTACACCAAATATACAGTAAGTGTGTTGTTTTTTATTATTTTCTTAAACTTGTTATCATTTTATAGGAAACTTAAAATTCATTGGATAAATCCTACACCTGCTAAGTTTTGAAATTTATATATATATATATATATATATGTTTCCAGATACTGTGATTCTGTCATTAATATCACCAAATGAAATGTTTTCAGAAAAATGATTTTTTTCCTTTCTAAAACAGGTTTACTACCTCCACCCCCCAAATAAATAAATAAATAAATAAATAACTGACTCCCAGGATATTTTAAGATTGTGTAATAAGAAAGATGATTACAATGTAAATTTTAGTTAAACATATAAGATGTAAAAGCTCACACAATTCAAATAGTTAAAACAAAATTATAGTCAAAGAATACAGACTCTTGATTTTACATTAAGTAATCATTACCCATATTCATGCTGGGTTTCAAAACTTCCTCTGCCATGTTTGCGTTTAAACTATTTAATGACAAGGCCTGAGAGACCTTTCGAATAGTACGGCTCAGCTTTTTACAATAGTAGTCCAACCATATCATTTCTCTTGTGACTCTTGGCGCCTACCTTTTCCTTGTAAGCTCTATTCCTGGATCTGTTCAGAATTGCTCTGGTAGTGATTAACTTTATGCATGATATTCAGATCACTAATCTATTACCAGCACATTAAACCACTGACTTGGTTCATACAACTCAGCATTGTGTACCTTCTTTCCTAACTTTCGTCCCATGGAGTAGTCTGACTTTGTAACTACAAAATGTGCTTAAATCAGACTTTGAGAATTTGCTCTTAATAGTGTAACTAATTAATGTTGTCCTGCTGTCGCCCTAGAGAGCACCTGTAATGCCAAATACTGGTAGAGGATCTGATTCAACATTATAAAAATTAAATATTAGTCATAGATTGACTAGTTACAGCTCTATTCTTAATATTTTAAACATGGATAATGTGAGAGCTTTCTTAGGGAACATTTCCTGAAATGGATGTTTAGGTCTTGCTGGGGTAGTTTAGAACTGTAAGTGTAGAACCAAAGAAAATATATTTTGTTATAGCTGCCTAAATATAGCCCAGTTTGCATTTCTTCCACAGTCTTTTGAAAGACTATGGAATTCCAGTAGTTGAGAGAGACAAGGTTTTTCCTGCTATTTCGTTGTGGAGAAGGGCATGTCTGTAGTAAGTATAATCTTAAGCAGTATCTGCTGTGGGCCAGGAGCTGCACGTCCGCCTAGATGGTTTCATTTAATCCTCACCACAGTTCTGTGAACTGGGGTGGTTTTAGCCCCCTTTACAGAAAGAACAACAAATTGAGATTCAGAAAGATCAAAGTTGTTGCCTAAAACAGGCCTGGACCTCCTCTCCTTCACCTAGGCATGATGTGTCTGCAGAAAGTCATCACAGAACACAGGTCCCCCGATGCCTCTGTTGGCTCTAAATTTCAAGTACCATGCTCACCTTAACCTATTCAAAAAGTAAAACAAGTTTCTTTACATGTGCCATGTGTTTTGCTTACTCTTAAATAAATGCTCTTGGACCTCTTATCTCCATTATCTGTTAGCTCTTAAGAGAGGGGCATAAATAATCTCTAAAACATATGTATAAGACAGATTTTTAAAAGAGCATTATATAGTTGATAATTTTCCCCTTAAAGAAAAAAAAAGCAAAGAGCCCCTAACTTTTTTATTTAAAAAATAAAAGTTACTTACTGCAAAATTCTAGTAATATTAAGTCTTTCTGGATTTATTCTTTGGCGTTTCATTTCCAATATCAATTAAGAGGAAATGGAACTAAAAAACATGTTTGAAAAGGTTCTTTAAAGGAAACTTTAAAAAGGTGAGAAATAAGAAAAGCATTCCAGATAATCAGTCATATTGTAACTAATTTATGCATGAATGTTTATCTGCTTCCTTTTTGTTTTCCTGCTTTCTCTTGAACCTTCATCTGTAGACTGGAGGATTTTCCTACATCTCCTACAAGCACAGCCAAACAAGAATTTCTGTATGTCGTATTATTCTTTTTCCATGGGCTGCGTGTTAACATAGTATTGGATACTTTTAAAGATAAATATTAAGATTATCTGCATGGCTGTGAATGTGTGTGGTTAGTTATTCTGTAGCTTTAATATAGACCCTTTTATATAGAGTAAAGCATCCTGGTATTCAAAGGCAACACACAGGTAAGGGCTGCCTTTTTGGTATCATAGCTCGTTTTGTTGTTGAAAGATTATAACACTGTAGTTGTGTGTTGCTTGTGCTTTTTTGAGACATGCTACTGCTAAAATGTATCACAAATCCTTGTTAATGTTTGTCGTGATAATACAAGCTAAACAAGAGTTTTCACTAATGGCAAAAATAATTATTAAAACACTAACGTAAATATATACACATCTCAATCTTATAATTCTGTTTTTAAGATGGGAAGAGTTTACTGCTCTGTTGACAGATTTTTGTATGGCTTTTACTATAGGTACCTCTATATTTTGAATGGCTTGATGTGACCTATATATATCAGATATTTTGTGGTAGCGAACTATATAGAGTGCTGTATTTAAATATTCATCACGAGTCATCACCATGACAGATGAATATGTTACTTAGCACTGGTTATTTCTTTGGACATTTTCTATAAAATTTGAGTACGCTTAATAAAAATGCAAATCTGTATGTTACGTTCCATGCTGGTAAGATTATTACTTGGTGAGAGATTTGTTTCATTGCATATTGATAACAGGCCATAGACAAAATATCAGTTATCAGCCCTTTGTTGTCATCTGTATCACTTCACCAGCCAATCAGAACTAGAAAATGCACTAATATTGAATTAGAGAATGGTTGTTTTCCAGAAATCACTCTTCCATATTAGTGTCATCTTAATAGGTATTGAAAAAGGTCTAATTCCACTTTAGTAGCCATGGCAGATAGAAAAGATTTATTGTTTCTTTCCATTTTAGCAGTGAGTTCTCTGGACATATTATTGTAAAAATAATCAGTACTGTCTGGTTTTAGAGGGCATGCTTTTACCCATGCACTCACCCATTACTAGTTACATATTATGGCCTGGGCACTGTGTTAGTCTTCAGAAATGCAGCAGTAAGAAAATGAGAGGTGGTCCTGTCATGTTGTCATTCACAGGCCACCCCCCCCC